AAAAAAACTTTAAAGAGCATAGGATTTTTCTGAAAACTTTTTTCTGTGTAATGTTTTGTAGACTTTTTCATCATGGTGTATGTCCTTCACCTTATGACCTTTTGTAACCCCATGACATCTTGATATTTCTTTTTTGTATAGAAAGAAACTTTATATATTTTTTTTCAATAAAGGCAACAACTGCTGTACTGAAAGACCTCAAATCGAACAGATCTATAACAGATTGTTGTTTAAGAGACTTCAACCTTATTTTTCCTCTTTCTTCAATGTATATAAAACTGTACTCACTGTTATATTAATGAACCAAAAAATAGCTCAAAATCTGCAGGCATAACAAGAAATCTGATGGATTTACAAAAGGTGGACATGGATAAAACTTTATGCCCTGCTACTGACTAAAGGGAGCATAACAAGAATGTGTCCATAGTACATGGATGCCCCACTCGCACTATCATTTTCTATGTTCAGTGGACCGTGAAATTGGGGTCAAAACTCTAATTTGGCATTAAAATTAGAAAGATCATATCATAGGGAACATGTATACTAAGTTTCAAGTTGATTGGACTTCAACTTCATCAAAAACTACCTTGACCAAAAACTTTAACCTGAAGTGGGACAGACGGACGGACGAAAGCAATGATCAGAAAACATAATGCCCCTACTACTATCGTAGGTGGGGCATAAAAATAGAAACAGCACATTAATACAACTGCAATCTAATTTTCTGATGCACAAAACTTCATCAAAACTTTAGGATCAATTGGCTAACAGCTGATCTGTCTTAGTTAATGAACTTTTACAAAAGTGTTTTTTAAATCAGTGTATTGTTAAATAAATGCTTAGACTGTACATTAATTTATGTCTAAGATAGCATTAAAACGTCAACAATTAATGACTTAAACAAATGCTTAATTTAAGCAAAATTCAAATTCTGTTTAAAATATTACTTCTCATAAAATATTTACATGAAATATAACAATACAAATCCACTACAATCTGAAAGAGTCTGAATGATCCATTTTTGTATTAAAATGTACTGAATTATAATTGACCAAACTGCATAAATCTGAATTTACTTAATCTGTCTTAAACAGAGTCGAAACTGTACTGAATTGTATTGATTGATTGATTGGTGTTTAACAACATTTTCAACACTATTGTGCTATTTTGTGGCAGTCAGTTTTTATTGGTGGAGGAAGCCTGAGTGCGAGGAGAGAACCACGACCTTCGGTAGGAAAACTAACAATCCTAGTCAATTAAAATTGGAGTAGAGTGTACTGAATTGTAGTGTATTGTACTAAGTCTAATATGAAATCTACTGGATTGAGTCTGAAATTTACATAAAGTCTTAACTTAACCAATCACAATCATGTATATGTCACGGCTCAGACTATGTTGGTTTAGCTCCAGACTTTGCATCATATTCTTCAAACTTGGTTAGGTAATGTTCACAATTTGTTACAGCATATTTCAGATAATTATTAATCACAGTCTAGTGTTGATCAAGAAATTTTAAATACCAGTTAAGACAATTCAAATAAATCAAGAAATTTACAGACTGGTAGAATAAAATTCAGTACAATAAATACAAGAAAAGGTCATATTATTTCTGGCTAATGCTGCTTGTTGCAAACAATATGAAGTAACAGTTGCATAGTAAGATAGCAGTATATGTAAAATAAACATTACCATTCAGATAGAAACAGTTTCCATTTCAATGATAACAATATCACATTTAAGAGGCACTTTCATTATTAAGGATGCTCGCTTTTCTTGTTTTTGAATTTTTGTCAGATATTCAGAATCCTCTGGTTTTATCCATGTTGTGGCTATAAATATTTTGCCCGCTAACCCCTACTTTTCTTTTCATAATTTTATTACCATAGTTTAAAAAGCCATATTTGAAAATGTTATAAAATCCTTGTTATTTTTTTCATTGATTTTGAATGAAAAAAGGTGCAAATGTTAAATGTATGAAAAATCTAGAGAGAATCATTTCCCGCCAATTTTTCAAGGGCTTATGTCTCGAAAACAAGGTCACAGACCCTTAATTTTTTTCTGCTTTTTTAGCTCCATTATTTATTTACTATCAATTTATAACAGTCTTTTAAATTTTAAAAAGCTTGTTATTTTGAAACAGAGTAGCGAACATCCTTAAATCAAATATTAGGTCATCTTTTGAATTTATTTACAACACTTTTTTTAGAACTCAACAGGATTCAGAGCTTGCCATACATTGTGGCCACATTTTCATTTAAAACCCCAAATCAATACAAATAAAATAAGATATTCAAAATTGTGAAATTATAAACAGCTGTTATACACATGTTTGAAAATAATGTATATGTAATTTAAGTAGAAGAAAAATAACTCAGAAATAAAGAAATCTAATAGTTCAACAATAGTAAAGTTTTAAAAAGTGCAAAATGCAAATGGAAGACATATGTAAAATAATGAAAAAGACACTGAACAAGAAATAAGTTACGGTTAACAAAATTTATGGCAGTGAAATTAATAACCCTGGAAGGCTCTACAAAAGAGAGATAATGTTTATGGTTAATATAAGTAATCTCCCTTTGACATTGAACATTTCCTTCTATAAATACTACCTTTTTACTTCAAGTTGGACATTGAATTCAATGATTCATAATACAAATAAAATTAAGATTTTTTTCCCTTACATAAGTTATTATTATTTTCAATAATGCAATATATTTGTGTATAAAGATGTATTCAATTTTGGTTACTGTAATTCATTAATGGGAAGATTTTTCTATCAATGTGAATTTAACCAGATACCATTAATTTGTATTGTAATATACATGTATATAAAGATTTCTTTTAGAAATAACAAAAAAAATAACATATACTGGTAGTAATATTATCTGATTATAAAGAGAACAAACATAGAAACTTACTTACTTTTAAACCATTGAATCTATTTACTCTGAAGGACATAAAAAACATATTTTTTTTCTAACAATTTTTAAAAGGTAAAAATCAGCGTTGAATAGCTTTCTGTTTTGCTTGAAAATATGGACATAACCTTATTTAAATAGATTTCAAATATATTTATCATACTTTTTTGCTCAAGACAAATAAGTAGTAATTGATTTTTAATTTTCAAACTATACAGCAGGGTTGTAATTTTTTGAAAAAGATATTTTGGTATTAAGCTCTTTTTTCAAAATTCTTGGCCAAAAATTAATATTAGAAAATTTAAAAACAATAAATCTAATTGGACATGGATTGCCTATATACTTACATAAGTAAACCAATACTAGTACAGTAACATCACTTATACAATACATACACATACATAAATATAAATCGTATACTATATTCATATATTTTACATAAAAAATTAAGCACCAGTATATTATTCCCTGGATTTTCAATAGACTCTTTTATGGCACTCACTTTAGTCTAGGAAACCCTCAAACATGACATGTTTAAATTCAACAACTTTATCAAAGTGCTTGAAAGTGCTGTCGGTAGAGGTTGCAGCACAGCCTGATGTTTGCACTATTTAAAAAAAAATAAGATGCTAATATGTCAAACATTTTCACTTTAGAAAAAAATTAATGTTTCACCAAAGGAAAATTGAGTTGTTGAATGGACATTTTTTCATATTTTAGACAGTTCTAGGCTGTTGTCTTGACCATTCAACAGAAACTATAACATAAACACATAAATTGTATTTCCACACAAGTATTATGACACGTTTCTTTCTTTGTCAGTTTATATAATTTTAGATAGTACCTTAAAGACAGATTTTCTACTTGTGTTAAATTCTGTCAGTGCAAAATAAAACATGATTATAAAACTGAAATAGCAGCTCAGCTAATTTAACAAACTGAATCAATTATCAGGCTAGTATGTTAATAACATCTGAATTACATGTATATTACTAAACTTCAATTTTGATCAAAATTCAAAAAGATAACCAATGGCTTTGTACAATCAAATTTATTAATTAATTGCAAATAATGTTATTCTATATTTAAAATTAAACCACTTTATCAATAAAGTGTTAAATAGATAAAAACAATCTTATGTAAGCTTTGAAAAAAAAAAAATTTTAAGAAAACAAATGTACACATGAAGTGTTTCATACGTTTTCATGTTTAATACCATTATATGGTATGTGATTTTTAAATGCAAAAATTATTCCTGCTTCATAGAATATAGGAAATCTGGCCATATGTAAATAATCAAATATTAATGGAAAACATATCCATAGTTATTATTAAATAAATAATGTAAAAAATGATTACCGTCATATCATAAAATTTAATATCATTTATTTTATAGACACTCTTTCATGTCATTTCATACAATTTTAATCAAATCTATTTTATAGACATCCATTATTTTTAGTCTGATTTAAAATATACCAACTAATTATATCTGAGATCATCAAACTACAGATGTTTATAGTGAAAGTACTTTATTCCATTTTTCAAGTTTTTCGTGTTTTGCAGAAATAAGATGCATTTGTCAATGTCTGAAAGCCAATTTTGAACACAATATAATCTTAAACATCTTGACATAAAAATTTAAGCTTTGTTATTATTCAAATGTAATTTTCATGTATTTTCAATGCAATGAATGCAGAATATTAAAATATTTCACTTGCAGTCTATCAAGCTTTCAAGCAATACCGTGTTTATTTTCTATTACAGGTAAATGAAGCCACTTAACAATAAAAAAATAAACAGGACAAATTCAAAACAAAGTGTCTGAATGGAACTAAATTTACTGCATAGAAAATGTCTGAAAATTAACTTAAAGACAAAATATGATTGGTTCATTAAAATCAAAATGAATGTTTAAGTTCAAAGTTGGTCTACTTGTGAATGGTACATATAGGTTTTGAATTTGTGGTTGTGTACTCTGAATACATGTTTAGTTTATTCCATTAACTAAATATGCCTTTCATTGGGAATAAAACTTAATTGAATTATTGAAGCTTGATATTCATTACAACTGGTAACTTTCACAATAGCTACTATTTTCAGCCATTTTCTTTAGATTATTATTTCTGCTTGAGTTTTTCCAGAATGGGAATAATCATGTCAAACTTTGGTCTTTTGCCTGGTTCTTCGTTCATACAGATTTTAACCAGACGTGACATGTGTGATGAGATTCCTGGAGGTATTGTCAAACGTAAGCCTTCCATTGCAATCTAAAATAAAAATTATTATTTGTAATTATCAGGTGCCAAATAGAATTTTTATTCTTAGATTTTTTCTGATTTTCATGCATGTTGTATGAACTGAGTTGTTTAAGATGCCTTTTTGAGAGAACAAAAATGTGACATGAATCTAATAAGGAAGAGGTATGACGCCTACCATCCAAAATTATACACTGTGGATTCATTTATTTTCGTGGGTATCAATTTTCGTGGATTGAGGAAAACTTGCATTTTTGTGGATATATGATTTCGTGGTTTTGCCAATCTCTGCATACAAAGCCTATAGAAAATTTGTAATTCTTTGAACATTTGAATTCGTGGTTCACCTGTACCCACGAAACCCACCAAAATTGGTATCCAACGAATAATAATGAATATACAGTACACAGAAATGTGACGACATGGGAAACCCCCAAACAATCAATCATGTCATTTGAAATAGCAGGTGCACAACTTCATGTCCTGTAGAAAAATCTGTGCAATCTTGGTTTTCAAGGAGTTACAGTACCAAAGTCTGACACAGACACATCAGACAATGTTGAAGATTGCAACAGAAATAGATAGAAGATTCCTAAATCATATATTGTAAATTCAGAAATTATTTTGTGAGCATTTTATTAATGCAAATAATGCGACTGGTTGAGTATCACAATAATAGAACTAGCATTTTGATATCTGATACATATATCTGTTTGCAGCTTTCCGGAAATCGCAATAATTAATCTTGCATATTTGTCCATTCTTCAATAATCTCAATAATAAACGCATGCAATAATTTCTGAATTTCTAAGTATGTATTTATTCAGTAGAAATTGATTAAATACTGAAGTAACTGGTCAGTCACTCAAGGGTCTAACTTAAATAAGTTATTAGAGAAAAATAACATACATGTGTTATTGCAGATACTTTCATGAGCTGTCTGCTCTTTATTTCTTAATCTGTAGTAACATATGTTTGTTATTAGTTAATGTATCAAAATATATTTTTATTTTTAGTGGGCTCTTGGGATTTCTTGAAACTTTGCGCAGAAACTTAATGCATAACCTTGATAATTAATTTTCCAATTCAATTAATACATTTTTGATCAACCATGGTAAATCAATGAGACAAGGCTTTTAAGGGATACACTAAGCTGTAATAACATGGCTTAGTTATTACAGGCATGTAACTTATAAAATGAGACACTTGGGAATTACTGGGAAGCTTGCTCAGAACCTCATTACATGCTCTGATCATTATTTCTTACAAAGAAATTAAAATACATTGTGATATATGTCTGAGAAATGGCTTTGAAGAGATGTAGAAAAGCTGTAATAACATTCTTTAGTTATTACAGGCATATATTTTCTGTAATAACATAGGTGTACTATACATGATTGGCAAATTATAAACTGTTATATCTTTCTAAAGTTTAGTATACATAAAGACAATAATAATACCAGTAGAACTTGTATACAATTTAACAAAGTAAAGGATGTATATTGCCTCTTTGAAACATGTAACATACATATGATATCACAGTTTTTTTTATATTTTAGCCCACAATAACGACATGTATGTTATTTTTCTCTAATAGCTTATTTAATTTAGACCCTTGACTGCTGGTAATCATTTAAAAAAGTTTTCCGTTAAACTATTGCATAATTAAGATAAACATGGAAACAGACATTCAAATAAAGCACTCACATACATTTTTAACACCGTCACATACTTTATGTGCCTGTCTCAAGTTAGGAGTCTGTAATTGAATGGTTGTCTTTGGTAGCTGTCTGTCATATTATTTTCAGTTTTGTTTTTATTTATTGTTTCATTAAAAAACAGGTCGTCCATTTTTCATTTGAATTGTTTCACTTTTTGTCACGTCAGGACACTTAGGGTAAATATCTATATGGTGTTTAAAGGTCCTGACGTCACAAAAAGTGAAACAATTTTAATGAAAAAATGAACAGCCTGTTTTTGCTTACTGTTGAAGGCCATATAGTGACCTATAGTTGCTTACATGCATGTCATTTGGACTTTGGTGGATAGTTGTCTCACAGGCAATCATACCACATCTAATCTAGTTTTAATATTTTATTGATATGATATAGAAAAGGTTTTGTTTCCCCATCAATAAAGCAACATTATCTTATATTTTTTATCACCTACACCATTCTTAATAACAATGCCATAAAGAACTGAATTTTTTTCTTACAGCATCATTGAAATCCAGTCATTGTTCTGAACACTGATAACAGACAAACAAACAAAATCAAGAACAACAAACACTCTCTTCATAAGTAGAAGATATAATAATGGCTAACTCTGACACAGGTTTTTATTAACATTGACCTATGTGGCATGTATTCATCTTTAACAAGACTTATGGTCCCAACATCCTATTTCCATAGGTCATCTGACATGGTAGTAAATGATAGTGTTTTCACCCCCACCCCCCCCAACCCCCAACCCCCAATCCCCCCAAAAAAATGTTTCACAGGGATAACTTAAATAGTAGTTCTCTACAACACCATAATTATATTTTTTGGGGGGAATTTTTAACAAACATTTTGCATTTTTATCAACTGAGAAATCTGACTGTCAATATATTTCCACTGCTTTCCTATCTATACTACTAAAATAATGAGGTCCAATTTGTTAGCTGGCATGACGTAAAAACAACGGATCAAAGAATTCAACTTTATATATAACTAATATAGGACAATGGTGTTGATTAAAAATTACATCATTCCAGGCCCTTTTGCTTTCCACATAGTTAATATTACCAATAATTAACAAGTTCTGGGTCGAATCTAATAACAATTCCAATAGTATATGTTACATGTAGTTTCTGGTTGTAGTAAGAAAACCAGGACGGGTTCAAACAGAAAAATTTTGAAAGCAGAGAAAACTGTAGACCTTATAATCAGCATGATTTTTTTCAGATGACAATACGAATACCTAAAATACAGGCTAAAAATAAGTAAAAATAAGGTGTAGGTACTTAATTGTGGAGAATCAAAAACACAGACAGTTTAACCATTATAAATATTTTTAATATACTATAGTAACTGACGTGTCCGTTATAAACTGGGAATCATATCTGTACTTTAAATGTAACCTCTTGTTTATATGTACCTTACAAAATAGCACATCTACAAATCATAGGTAACCAACTGACACAAATTTAGCAAAATTTCCAAAATGCTTGATAACTGCTTATGGTTGAATTTAAAAGATATATGTTCAAAGCATTTTAATTCTAAATTATATTAAATAATCATTTGAGATAAATATATGAAAAAAAAATTTGTAAGGGTTCAGCGGAACCCAGTGTGTCGCCTACTTTTTCTGTTAATCGCAGGCTCAACAAAAATGAGGAAGTAAATCAATAAAAATATTCCTCTTGATACTATCTTTTGATTGTAAGAAGCTTCTGTCCAAGTTTGTTAAAATCCTGGATAGTTTATGAATCTAATAAATGTTTAAAAACTTTAACTGCAGACTGAATGTAATGTTAACTGGAAGAAAACAAAATTTCCTTCTAGATACTAGCATTTGATCATAAACAAGCTTCTGTCCAAGTTTGGTACAAATCCAAAATAGTATAAGAAAGTTATTAAAATTTTAAAAACTTTAACCACAGAGTGAATGTGTTGTTTCCTGGCAGAAAGTCTAAGTCCATTTAATAGTAAAATACGGAAAAAATGGATTTATTTTTTTACAAAATTTCCTTCTAGATACTAGCTTTTGATCATAAACAAGCTTCTGTCCAAAATAGTATAAGAAAGTTATTAAATTTTTAAAAACTTTAACCACAGAGTGAATGTGTTGTTTCCTGGCAGAAAATCTAAGTCCATTTAAAAGTAAAATAAGGAAAAAATGGATTTTTTTTTTTACAAAATTTACTTCTGGATACTATCTTATGATCATAAACAAGCTTCTGTCCAAGTTTGGTAGAAATCCAGGATAGTTTAAGAAAGTTATTAAAATTTTAAAAACTTTAACCACAAAGTGAATGTAATATTTCTCAGCAGAAAAACTAAGTCCATTTATAAGTAAAATACGGAAAAAATGGAATTTTATTTTTACTAAATTTACTTCTGGATACTATCTTATGATCAGGTCCGAGTACACAGTTATTTCGTAGTGCATTTCTTTTAGACAATAAATGAAAATAAAAAAAATCCCACCTGCGCTTTCTCAATAATATTTTTACAGTGTGTTGTACTACTTTTGGGACAAATCATATCAAAATTATAGAAAACTTCATCGGCTCTAACTCAAAATATGGACAATTCTATGTTAAGGGGGTCTTGAAATCTTTTGACAGCTTCCGAAGTGCTAATTTTTAACCTTTTTCAGCTGGACCAAATCACTACTTTACTTTACAATTCATGACCCAAATTTGTTTACAGTGTAATTTCATCCCCCTACTTGCTATTTGAGGCATAAAACATGAAGGAATACATTTGGAAGGGGTACTAAAAAAATTGGCAAGCAACACACTGTCCACACTAGGGACTTTATTCGTGGACAACGAAAATCAAAGGACGATAACTGTGTACTCGGACCATCATAAACAAGCTTTTGTCCAAGTTTGGTAGAAATCCAGGATAGTTTAAGAAAGTAATTAAAATTTCAAAAACTTTAACCACAGAGTGAATATTTGTGGCTGCCGCCGCCAACGACGACGACGACGCCGATGGAATGTAGGATCGCTATGTCTCGCTTTTTCGACTAAAGTCGAAGGCTCGACAAAAACACTTGGGTAATTTAAAAATCATCAATGTAAAGGGAAATAACTCTACATAACATAGGTATTTTTGTTTCCTTGCATCAATTTCGCAATATTTGTTTAATATGTTCAGCCATGTTATGTGTATGGGTGTGACAGTTTGGAATAACTTTTTTCAATAATATCTTATGAATATTGTATAAAGTGTCTTTCAGTCCCCCCTCTTTTTTAATATTTTTCCTTAAAAGTTAATACATGTATAATATTGTATTTATGAACCTTCATTCCACATTCCATAGGTGTCAGATCTGCATGTGGAACTTCTCTTGTCTCTAGTTCCCATAGCAACACTGCAAAACACCACATATCAGCTGCTCTCTGATTTATTTCTGATGGTTTACGTGTAAGTGCTACAACAGAATAATTTATGTATAAGAGCTAGAACAACAAAACTCAACATTATTACTTTTTTTAAACCTTGCTAACAAGCATTTAACATTTTAATGTGAATTGATTGGCAATCAACGAATTTTACAATTGATATTGCTCTACAATTAGAAACTTTAAACCTAATTAATAATTAAGTATACAATCTCTTTATAAAACAAGATAACAAGAATCGTTGTAGTTCTGAGTGTACCCCACTTGTAATTCAAAGTATGGGAAAACAGGAAGCATGTGTCTAAAAGTCCCACAAGTGAAAAAATTGACATTTCCAAAACTGTTCGAGTTGCTGACCAAATATGAAGTCATTCTGGTGAGTGGTTTCTGAAAAAAAGTGTGACTAAAATATTTGAAGGAACAACCAATGGACAGAAATTCAACAAGACAAGGTAATTCCAAAACAACCCTTTATAATAAACCAGAGCTTCCAACCAACACATATATTTTTTATTACAAAACAACAACATCAGTTAATGAAACCATCAACTATGAGTGATTCAGGTTAAAATATGAAAACTAAATAAAAGTTTTCATAGAGGAAAAGTTTCATATTATTTGCACGCTGTTAAAATGTAAAAATTTAATCTACAAAGGTGACTCTCTTGGTATGTCTTTTCTTAACAAAATTATTCTTGCCCCAATTACTGCTAATTGGTCAATTAATTGTAACTGAATTTAATTCATGATACAAAGAGGATGAGATTGCGATTTCTACAAAAGGAAGATATTCCTAATCATATGTGACACAGATATTTCATTATGGTCGATCAAATAAAGATGGTATACATATAAACTTTTGGAGATTAGATTGGAACTTATATTATTTTAATGGCTTCCTTGAAAGCAGAAACCCTCTCCCTATCAAGAAATTTTTGTATGAAACAAATGAACTGGGAGATATATACCAGTATTCCATTTATAGGTGATGCTTGCATCTTGCTTCATAAAAATAAAATGTTCACAATTGGAAAATTAACAAATTTCACAAAGATGTGTATGTACATGGTGCAATTTTAACAGAATTTTCCCTTTTTAAATTATTCTTTACCTTCTGGAGCCATCCAAGCTGGAGAGAATAATTTGCCTTTCTCGTGGAAGGAAAATTTATAGTCGGCCATATTGATTCTGGCAGATAAATCTTCATCAATCTGTAAACAAACAATAAAAGAAATAATTACATTAATTGCAAACCATTCTATACATACCATTCTTTTACATATAGCTTTCCAGGATAAATCTCATTCTACATGGTCATGATCTGAATTTACTGTAAACCATTGAATAAACACAGTAATCATTGGTTAAATTCAGTTGGTTATGTACAAGAATTAACAAAACCTGGTTGCCACTTTCACTTGAGCGAATTCTTATATAATTTGTTTTTAATTGCTGTTGTTATGGTTTTATATATTGTATGGATGTTTTACATTTGTCTTATTTGTGTCTGTTTATGAATTTGATGGTAAACATATACATGTCAGAATGCATCACTTTATCATTGAATCAATATTAGATCAAAGCAAATATGACAATTTGAAAATAGGTTTTCATTCCTTAAGTTTTCAAAGAATACAATTTATTTTTTTCAACAAATCATCGATTCTACACCATTTTTTAAAAACTTTTATACAAATTTGAGTTTAGAAATTGACTCATCATATACAATACATAACAATCTTTTATTTGTGAGACTTTATCAATCCACAATGGACAATTGATCTGAGAACATTGTGTTGTCTGCCAAATTTGAAGATAACTCTACAACATGAATAAGCAGTCTTTTAAAATCAGCATTTTCAGGGGAAATAAAATGTCCCTTTTGTACTTTTTGTTATCAAAACATGATCAGTTTTTAAATGAAGTATATTTCAGTATATACAGGTGCAGATATATTATAAAGGTATTCCTTATTACCAATGAAAACAGTCAACGGCAACCACAAGTACTGTAGATTAATTAATATTCATGGAGAACAATTTGATTGCTTGATAGTAGTTTAAAATTGTTAACCATGTTAGGCATACATTTTTTTTTATTCTTTGATTTAAAAATATAAAATGAAATTATGTTTAACTAAATAGTTACTTTTTCTAAAACTTTGAAAACTGGTACCCATGAGAAACTATGTAAACTGGTTTCCATGAAATACTATGTAAACTGGTACCCATCAGATAGATTGAAAATTGGTAACCATAAATTAAATAAATCCACAGCATTTGAAAAGAGTATAATGAGGGATGGGCATCATAATTATATACTTTCCTGTACATTGTGTATACTAGTGAAATAATTATTTTATATTTAGTAGCAACAATAATAAATATCTCATATCTTGTCACCATGGGAACAATAAAATTATTTTTATTATCATTTCTGTTAAATTTGGACTTCGATTTGAATATCGCAAAAACCTCTCTTTAGATTTTAAATTTAGATTTGAATTGATTTGATACAAAATTTTTACCTCATTAAAAAAACTACAATAATGTAAATTAATGCAATAAATATATGCATTTTGTCATATCAGGAACATATATATTGACGGGACTTGACACTACCTGATTGTAGTCGATTTTATCGTCGTGCCATAGTTAATAAAGATACGATACAGAAACGGACATGTGTTAAAAACGGACTCGCTATTTTCCTAATAATTTCTGATATTATCAATAAAATGTCATTCAAACTAGTTTTATAGTGATGCTAGTGTATCAAACTTGTATTCTGTCACTTCAAATTTGTTAAAATCGCAAGCATTTCATCACAGAATTGTGCAGAATGCAAACAAGGTAATAAAAAAATGGCGGCCATTGCCGCGATGATTTAAAAATTCCCAAACTATTATAAAACACTTCACATCAAATAAATCAAACTTATTTTGGTAATTTTATATGACAAAATATATCTACTAAATGATAAAACTTGTATTTATTTACAATTAGAGTTATGTGGTTTATTTGTTGAGCAGTTCTGATAGTTTTTCAGTCAGACGCTACCAAAATCCGTAAATCTCGGGAAGTCTCGGGGAGTCCGAGATTTTATCAATTTTATACTGAAAAGCGTATCAGATTCATTTCCCGTTAGATATACTGTTCCCAGGTCATATAGATGCAACTATCTTGAAACTTTTTTTAAAATCTTTCCATCATACATGTAAATATTGCAAAATTTAAGTACAAATTCACACTGAAACATCAAGATACAAATTAGAGAACATGTTCTGTACAAAAGGACGTCTTCAGAGGAAAAGAATGTTTAATGCAAGAAGTGTGAGCAGTGTTCACTTTACACATCATAGTTCAGATACAAAATAAACTAAAACATTAATAAAACAGGACATGCATAAAAACTTAAAATGATTTAATAAACAAATCAAAGGTCAAAGTTCTAATCTAACATCAGATAACCAACAAAATATATCAATAATCTAGAACTCATATCAAACACAACAACTTAATAAGTATTCTTTTAATATTGTCATATGCGCTGTAAGTACATTTTAACCCTAAATGCATGGTTTTGAATATGGAATTATCTGTTTGGTAAATTATTTTTCTAGAATCATCTGAATTACTCCCCTTTGTTCAATATCCTGTTTTTGGATTTTTTTGTTGTTAATTTTATTCCAATGGAGAGAAACTTATTTTTTCTCTTGGAAAAGACAAAAGGACCAAAAACTAGACAATCAAAATTTGTAAACAAAGGTAAATATTATCAAATTAACAAAAATAATTATTTATAGGCATACTCCTATTCAAATGAACAATTGTTATTAATTTAATAATAAATGCATAGATATTAAACTATTCTGTATTCTCGAAAAAAATCTAATACTGCATTTTCTACACTGAATCCTACGAAATCTACCTAATTTCAAAAAGAAAAAAGTTGTTAGTAATTAGGTTTTATTCACTCTCTAACAATGGGAGGCATTCCTTTACCCCATTTACGACTCCATCAGTTTTCCTGTAGTATTTAGGATCGTCAATATTTATCTTAGCCAAATCCTCATCAATCTACAATGAATGCATTTTACATGTATTCCTATCTTTGTTTCACATTGTGCTATGCTCAAAGGACAAGGTTCACTTTAGGTCAAATATGGCCTTGAATTTCAACTTTATAATATAAACTTTCAAAATGGCCATAACTTGATTCTAAAATGGATCTATTATAAAAGTCTCACTACTAGATTAAACAAATATCTTCAGAAGAGTGCATTTTAGTCTTCAAAATTAGCACATTTTGGATAAATTGTCAAAATACGATGATTTTGTGCATTTTCGGATCTAAAAGCTTGAGAAAATCCTTATCCGCAACCTAGGATCCAAAATGTTCTTTAACCAAAAGTTTGTAATGATGATATTGAATGCCTAAACACCAACACTTTCTGGATCACGGCTGGCGGCCAAAGTGAATTATGCTAAAAACTGTTCAGAATTATTGAAAATTTGTCCAAAAATGACGTTACAACACAAATAATGCATTCTTAAGGAGTCATTAAGTCATCATTTAAATGTGATGTGCCAAAATGAAGTTATTTTGTATTAATTGTATTATCATAACTATTTCTTTGTCAAATTTGTAGTATTAAGGCCTGTTTAAAAAAAAATCAAAATCGTAGGGCCAATTTGAACCCTTCGTGAACCTACTCCTTTCATTGGTTGAATCTGGTTGGAGCAAGCAGGTCCATGTATAAACACTTCCATTTTGATTTCATTGGAAACGTTATCACAACTGCCATTTGACAATCACCACTTCAGTAGCATAAATTACATAAGTATATCTCATTTCACAAACACCTATATTTGAAATAAAATCTCACATCAATATTCTAAATTCTCCAAAATCCATTTATACAAAGCAACTTTTTATGCTCCTTTTTAAATAAACCAATGATCTTAGAAAATTCTGTCATTTCTTATATTTGAATAAAAAATTTAAATTACAAAAAACTTGTGAACCAAAATTACAAAATATTATTCTTTAGATAACTTAAAATTGAAATACTATAAATTCAGAAAATTTGTGTGTATTGTTCATGGTTATTGTGGAAAAATGGACAAAAATGTGAGATAAAATACTGCAATTTCAAGAAATGTAGCAAACAAATGATGCTATCAAAATTTAAAATGATGTTTTTTTTTTTTTTGGCGGAACTATCCAGGTGCAGCTTTGCTAAAGAAAATGCAAACATTTCTTAATTTACAGTTCTCAGTTACAACAAAGGTATTACAAATTTTTTTTATTACTCTTTTTATCTATTTTATATTTTTGTCAGTTTCCCAAAATACAATACACAACTATAAACCTTTATCAACATTCCTGCAACATAAAAAAATTGTAAAATTTCAAAATATTTATAAGTTTCAAAGATGAAAATAGTTTACCATGATATGTTTGCTGGTTATAACAAGGTCAGGAATCATTGGTTCTAGTGTGTGTAAGAACTCCATCCCTCTAGCAATGTCTATAGCAAATCTCAAGGCTTGATTCTGATCTACTACTATACCTAGTCAAACAAAAATTAGAATTATAAGGACAAATTTTCAATAAAAATGTTCACAGCTTAACTCTTTTGAGTTTGTACTTAGTGGACAAAATACAAGTTTGCCGGTATTTTGTGTCAATCTTTAATTATTTATTAGCTTTTGTAAATATAGAAACAAACTTGTCAAACATTTTTTTTCAGTTATTCTTTTGTTAACTGTTCTATAATTTATTTGTTGGTAATTTTGGGATTATTTTATAATAATACACAATAGTTTTCATATCAAACAGGTAATACAGAGAACCATCTTGAAAGAGATTTCACTTTTGTCAAATCATCTTTGTTTTGTAATTAACAAATATTTCTGTACATTTTTTCTTCTTTTTATTGTTACCAATTGATAAAAATGATCATAATATTAAAGTTATTTTGACAAATTTAAAATATTGCATGGTAACTTTTAACTTCATTCTATTGGGAACATTATGTTACTTTATAATACCTTTTGCTATAATTTTCTAACCTGTTTCTCCGTGTAATACATTGAACAATGAGCCATAAGGCATAAACTGACTGACGACTACAAGATCTGGTGGTTGGTTACAGCAAGCTAATACAGGGAGAACATTTGGGTGGTTGAAGATTCTGTAAAAAATAAAAATTATTAAATGGCAATATGTATATAACGACTACAACAATCTTTTTAGTCAAAAATTTATTCAGTGGATTAAAATTCTTTGGATAACAAATATTGCTACCCTAAAATCAAACAAGAATTCTGAGAGTATTGCATGGCAATACATAGTCCACTACCAGTTAAAAATTCAGTGTATTGGAACAAAATGCTAAGTTGATCCATAACTTGTCATGGTGTAAACTATATAACAAACATCAAGTCAATATCTTGAAGCATGAAGAAAAAAAGTGTGGAAAACTGAATATTAAAGTGAATTTTCTAAGTCCAAGGACCATAACTCTGCACAAAATCATTAGACTGGAACAAAATTCGAACTCAATCTGTAACTTGTCATGATAAAACAATACACCAAATATCAAATCAATATCTTCAAGCACAAAGAAAAAAGTGTGGAAAACTGATTATTTGAGTGAATTTTCTAAGTCCAAGGACCATAACTCTGCACAAAATCATCAGACCGGAACAAAATTCGAACTTGATCTGTAACTTGTCATGATAAAACAATACACCAAATATCAAATCAATATCTTGTAATACCACCATTGTTTTTCCCCTATTAGTCTTTGTTAAATTTGCACTTTTCAAAAAATTGTGCAGAATTTATCTTTGAAATACTTGGCATGAGTAAAGTTTTATCCTGTCCAGTACTATAGACAAAATTTCACATAACATTTCATTGAATATAAGAAAATAACCATCACTGGAAGTTAACCAATCAAATTTTCACCCCTTTTTATACGCCCGTCAAATTTTTGACGGGACTTATTATGGTATACAAATGTCCGGCGTCCGTCCGTCTGTCTGTCCGTCTGTCCGTCTGTCTGTCCGGCGTAAACATGTCGCACCGTAACTTGAGAATGACTTATCCAAATTTCATGAAACTTAACATAGTTGTTTCTTATGATGGTCAAACGATCTGTATACTTTTTGGTGAAAATAAGATTAAAACTTTTTGAGTTTTGGGACTTAGTAACTAAAACAGGTGTGTGTTTTTTCACATGTCGAGCCGTATCTCAAAAACAATTTACGATTATTGCTTAAAACTTTACACACTTCTTAGTTATATTAATCTTAAGATCTGTATACTTTTTGGTGATGATTCAAAATTTTATTTTAGAGATATTGAGTATTTTGTTAAAAAAGGGGGAGGGGTTTTTCACATGTCGCGCCGTATCTCAAAAACAGTTTATGATTATTGCTTAAAACTTTACACACTTCTTAGTTATATTAACCTTAAGATCTGTATACTTTTTGGTGATGATTCAAAATTTTATTTTTGAGTTATTGAGTATTTTGTAAAAAAAGGGGGAGGGGTTTTTCACATGTCGCGCCGTATCTCAAAAACGATTTATGATTATTGCTTAAAATTTTACACACTTCTTAGTTATATTAATCTAAAGATCTGTATACTTTTTGGTTTTGATTCAAAATTTTATTTTTGAGATATTGATTTTTTTTTTTTAAAAGGGGGGTTTTTCACATGTCGCGCCGTATCTCAAAAACGATTTATGATTATTGCTTAAAATTTTACACACTTCTTAGTTATATTAATCTAAAGATCTGTATACTTTTTGGTTTTGATTCAAAATTTTATTTTAGAGGTATTGTTTTTTTTGTAAAAAAAAAAAGGGGGTTTTCGCATGTCACGCCGTATGTCAGAAACTATTTATGCTTATTGCATAAAAATTCACACACAAGACGACGGGCGTATCATGCGCTCATGGCGCAGCTGTTTATTTTCCTGTATACAAGCTTTAGTAACCATGTAACCTCAAGTTTCCAAAATATTCTATAGAAACACCAAATAAAAAAATAATGGTGCTTTGAAACACCCAAGATATATGTATATGACTCAAAATTTTTTTACTGCAATGAAATATAGGATTAATTTCCTACAACTGTCAAATTCAAGGAAATATTTTTTTCAACCCTTTTTCTTATGCAACCAGATGTGATGTACTATGATTTGGTGGTATCACACCTATAGGAAATTTGTAATATGTTGGACCGTGATCATTATATTTATATGTGCACATCTAGTAGTGTTCTACAACTGTAAGATCATTCTATCCATTATGGAGTAGTGGCACTGACAAGGACAGATGGACAGACAGACTGATTCCTATTTACCCATCCTCCTCCTCCCCCCCTAAAAAAAAAAAAAAATTATAAAAAAAAATTAAAAAAATCTTATTTGTTGATAACAAAAAATTATCTTTTTTTTTACAAACTTTTTAGTTGATACAATCATATAATTTGTCTACCTAAGTCTAGGAATTTCCTCCTGGAAATCTCTGGACATTCTAAGAGTACATTCTCTAATACTGAGTATTTTCGCTACGATGTCATTTTCTTCCCATTGTCCTCTGTACATCTGTAAAATAAACATTAAAATGTTAATATGTAAATAAATTCTTTAGTAGTTTAAATCTTTGATTCTTTCAAACTAATGATAACTCAGAAACAGCTACAGTAACAGTAAGACAATCAAAACTTTACAAGATTTGATAAGATAACAAGCATTATGAGAGTACATAGTCCCCTACCGTTTAAAATTTCATTGTACTGGAACAAAATGCTACCATGATCTATAACTTGTCCTGGTGTAAACTATATAACAAATATTAAGTCAATATCTTTAAGCATGACGAAAATTTTTTTTGAAAACTGATTATTTGAGTGAATGTTCAAGTCCAAGGACCATAACTCTGCACAAAATCATCAGACCAGAACAAAATTCGAAATTGATCTGTAACTTGTTGTGATAAAACTATATACCACTTATCGAATCAATATCTTCAAGCATGACGAAAAAAAAAGCTGAAAACTGATTATTTGAGTGAATTTTCTAAGTCCAAGGACCATAACTCTGGACAAAATCATCAGATCGGAACAAAATCCTAACTTGATCTGTAACTTGTCATGATAAAACTATATACCAAATATCAGATCAATATCTTTAAGCAAGAAGAAAAAAAGTGAGGAAAACTTACTTGCCGTACATACATACATACAGACAGACAGACAGACAGACAGACAGACAGACAGACAGACAGACAGACAGACAGACAGACAGACAGACAGACAGACAGACAGAGTGCAAACCTAAAGTCCCCTTCGACTTCGTCAGTAGGGGACTAAAAAGAAACTATGACCATGATAACAGATTATTGGTTTTTGATGGCAATAAATTTTATAAAATGTAAAAGTGTTTTGATCTTATAACTACCATTATGTAGACGCCAATTCTGATGGGCTGCCAGTGTCTGACAATATCATTTGCCCTGTAGATAATGTTTTTCCACTACAGACAGTTTGATAAATTATATGTTTATAAATTTTGTAATTTAACTGAACTTCCAAACTACTTCAATAAAATTGGTCTTAGACAGTTGAGACTGCTTCTGTAGATCCTTATGGATTTGTTGATTCTAAAATATATCTCTTCCTTTTTTTACTGTTCTAAAAGATTTAGCTCTGAATATTACCAATAAATAATATTTAATGCAACAAAACAGATATATCAAACAACAAACAAATTGTAGAGAATGAAAATTAACACATTATTTATTTGGGACAGCCACATCACTGGTCTGGGTTTACCTTCATCAGGAACACTTAAACTAAAACATTTCAAAGCAAAGACTGTACCGTAAAAATATTTCAACAAGTGAGAAAATTTATGACCAAAAAGGATAGCAAATTCAGCTTAGTTAACTTTGCATGATGGAATTGGACAGTTCCTTTCTTAATAGTTTCTAATATACAATAACAATCTTGCACAGACTACATTACTATTGTCACTTAAGTATTGCCATACAATGTACACAATACATAATACAAATGATAGGTAACATCTAAATAAATGCTTACCTCCCCTGAATGAGTGACTGCTACCTGATTACTGAGGTTTAGCTGTTTGATATCTATACCAGTATGTCTTGAAAGAAGAGCATCTCCTGTAAACAAAAATAAATTAGTTTTGACATAAAATCAACACTTTCCCAACAATAATTTTTTTTTAAATAATTGACAATAACAACTTTTTCAAATTTTACCCCTAATTCTTTTCTTTTTTAGCATTTAACGAAAAACAACATATATCTGATTTGTCCTATTATATTCAAACTACATTGATATAAAAAAAAAAGCCAATCTAATAAAAATTCATATCTGTAAATAATTCTTATCATTTTGAATTTTTTTATGAGAAACACAATACCATAAATTAGGATGTATAATAATGACCTTTATTTGAACTCTGAATTTTCAAAAATAATTAAATTCTCCAATCCTTTCAGAATTATGTAGATTTTATTGATTAATAAATATGTTTTAATTAATGAATTGGAAACTTTAGTGCACAAATGTCATTTGTGATGTCAGTATGACATTATAAATATTATTTTAAAAGGTATAAAGAATTTTATTTTTTTTGAAATTTCAAACCCTACATAATGGTACTTATCCTTGTTATCATAGCTCATCCTTTCAAATCTTAGTTGTATGAAAATGTTCAGACTACTCTTATGAGTCTTATCATGTTTATTGTAAGAACAAAAGTTGATCAAAAGAGTGCATATTGTTGTTTTTTATGTGACAAATTAGTTAACATTGTAGAATTATCTGAAGTGATCAAATACTCGTCTGGTCAAATTTGTGATCAAGAAAAAGGTGGATTTAGACAGACATCCTCAGTGTAGGTTAGTTCACAGAATTTTCTTCCAGGCTGTTTTCACACTGGGGATCCCAATTTCGAAATCAGCGGAGGGATCTGAATCCAAAGTAGCAATTACACTTTGTTTAGTGCAATTCGTAAGTAAAATCAGGATCCTATTCCAACAGAGGATTATGCTCCATGGGAATCAGATCCAGATTTACTTACCCACCATGTTGCAGTCTCCTGTAATTGCTCCTCATGATTCAGATCACTCTGCGGATTTCAGATCGGGATACCCAGTGTGGTCTTATTTATAAGAGATTAATTTTAATAGTGTGTAAAAAAAGGACTGGTTCATCAAGAATCAGAATATTAGTAGTTTGTTAAAAAGTAACTTTTAGGGATTTTAATGAAGTATCTAATTCACATTCCTAGAGGCTCATGGAACCCAGAAACCTCTGTGTTACCAATACAGGTACAACTAAGGTAGTTGATTTTCTCACCTGATGTGGATTCATTTATTTTCGTGGGTACCAATTTTCGTGGATTGAGATAAACTTGCATTTTCGTTGATATTTAATTTCGTGGTTTTGGCAAAGTCTACATTCATTCTTTTAGAAAATTTGTAATTTGTTGAACATTTAAATTCGTGGTTAACCTGTACCCACGAAATCCACGAAAATTGGTATCCAACGAATAATAATGAATCCACAGTATATTGTTTTACATTTTGTCATCTCAGAAACTTATAAAGTCAACTATATGATATGGCTTTTGCTCATTGTTAAAGGCTGAACAGTGACCAATAGTTGCCTACATCTACATCAATTGGTCTTATATTGGGTTTCCTCTTTGGCAATCTCCTTCTTATACATGTAGTTATCATGAAAATCTATTGATTCCAATTTTGTACATTTTGAAATCATGCAATTAATTATAAATCATACAACATTTCACAAGCCTATAGTTTCAGCTCAGTTTTTAATAATGACAGCCATCTTGAATTGTGGTTTGGACAAAAAAATGTTTGAATAAAATTAAAGGACAATATTGGAAAACTAAATATATGCAATAGTTTTTAGTCATTTGGGCATACTGCATAAATGTGAGTGCATAAAGACCTAAATATCTATCTTGGATGTCAACAGATATTAATGATCATACTGATATTATTTCAAAGGACTGTTACACCAGAATTTTTGAAATAGTGATTTCATGAAAAGAAATATTATGTTTATCCTCATATAAGCCCCTCTATAAAAGTTTGCCTTTCTTCTCAGCAAAAGTGTTTTTGTACGAACATAAGTATCTTGTGGATTCGTGAAATATTGCTTTTAAAGTTCAAAACTTTTTTGTTTTCGAAAATTGTTATCAGTTTAAGTTAATATATATATAATTATTCAAGGCAGGTAAACATGTTGTGGATTAAATGTTACCAATTCTGCAATAAATAGTCCAGCATCAAGTTTTGCCTGCTGGAAACAAGTTTGATGATAAATCGTATAATTTATGAAGATTAATAAATTTCAAAAATGTATTTTATGATACTCTATAATTCTCCTTATTTTGAAAAATGTGATGCTGACTGGGCTTACATGAGAATAAACACTGCACAGGAGAAACATGTATTCATACCACAATATGACAGGAAAAATTTTGCAGCTGTGTGACAAAAATAATGTTTTATTCATCAGTAAAAAAAAAGATAAAAAACTTAGTACAAGTTCATACAGAACAAATAAAGAAAAGACAATCATGACAATGTAGGATAAAATCTTCAATCATTTTTTCATGATTTAGTATGGATAGAAAAAAAGTTTGACAAAAGTCTGAAGTTTACATTTTAATACACTTACCACCTTTAAATATAATAATAAAATACAGAAAACATTATGAATGTTACAAAAATATATAAATTTTCAACTAATTTTTGTTTTTTACATTGTCAGGTTTGCTATACTGGGTAGCTATTAATTACATGAAGTTCATGCTGACTTTGTATTTCTACCTACATACTTGCACACAAGTTAGAAATCACTCTTGGTGGTGATTTTTCAGTCTATACTGGTGATGGTGAGTGATTTGGCTAGCCATAAAACCAGGATCAACCCACCATTTTTTCTTAAAATGTCCTGTACCAAGTCAGGAATATGGCAGTTGTCATCAAATAGTCCATTTCTATGTATGTTGGCGTTTCTTTTTGTTGCAGTTCAGCGTTTCTGTTGTTCTGTTGTTTTCCTCTTATAGTTGATGTGTTTCCCTCAGTTTTAGTTTGTTACCCGAATTTGTTTTCACTTAATCAATCTATGACTATTGAACAGCTACTGTTGCCTTAATTTGCCATGAAATATCTTTTATGTCTATTCTATATGAATAGTTGTGTGTACTATTATTTGTCTGTTTGTCTTTTTTGTTTATAGCCATGGCGTTGTCAGTTTATTTTCGATTTATGAGTCTTAAAAACTTTGACCATGACTTATCATAGATGTCACAATTTTTGAGCTGACATTGAATTTTCAATTTGACCCTAACATATCAAATCTTCATCTGGTTTTCTGGTAAAGCTACCAAAAACTAAAGTTTCTATCGCAAAAAAACACACAAATAAAATAAGATAAATTGGTTATTAGATTTTTATCATATTGTTATTATAAAATATAAGCTGTTGACATAATATGAAGCAATTTTTTTAACTTGTGCGTTGTGTGTGTGACTAGCACCTGATATTTTTCAGCATCAGTATTGAGAAAAACCTGATAATCTATAAATCTACACTTACTACTTCTAGTTTTATAGCCAAGCCAACTTCTGTCTTTGAATGGTATTTTCTGTAGATCTTGACCAAGCTGTAGAGCTCGTTCTGATTAAAAATAAATTAAAAAAATCATCAGTGATTACTTAAATCACATGTTACAGATTTTTTAAAACCAGACATGCTACATAAATTTATCTAGTGTTTGACCAAACAGAACAACATAAACGGTTGATAGCAGATCTTTCATTGTCTCTGTTTAAATTTTGTTCCAATTTTGTAGATTTGTGTCGATTTAGAGCTTGACATATTTTATCATGTGTATAGACGGACTGTCGGTTGCTAAAGACTGTATGGTGACATCTAAATGTCTTTTTTTTTTATGTTGTTGGGTTGCTGTGTCATTGAAACATTCCTAACATTTCCTGTTAAGGATGTTCTCTGCTCTGTTTCAAAATAACAAGCTTTTTAAAAGACTTTTATAAATTTATAGTATATAAATAAAGGAACCAAAAAAGCAGAAAATAATGAAGGGTCCGTGTGCTTGTTTTTGAGATATAAGCCATTGAAAATTTGGCGGGAAATGATTCTCTCTAGATTTTTCATACTTTTAACATTGTCCGCTTTTCTCTTATAAAAACTATGAAAAAATAACTAGGATTTTTTATAACATTTTCAAATATGGCTTTTAAAACTACCGGTATATGAAATATAATTCTGAAAAGAAAAGTAGGGGTTAGTGGACAAAATTATTTAATGTCAATATATGGATAAAACCAGAGGATTCTGAAAATCTGGCAAAAATTCAAAAACAAAGAGGAGCGAACATCCTTAATTGCATTGAACATTGAAGAATAAAATACATATGACAGAATCATTAATGATAACCTGGTCCTGGGACACAGTTATCTGCCTTTGATTTTCGTTGTCTACGGATATCGTCCCTAGTGTGGACACTGTATTACTTGCAAATTTTTTTCTTACACCTTCCAAATTTGTATTTTATATTTTAGGCATAAAATAGTAAGTAGTGGGATGAAATTACATGTAAAAAATTGGGGTTAGGAATTTTATGGTAAAATAGTGATATGGTCCAGTTGAAAAAGGTAAAAATTTAGTATGTCTGAAGCTGCAACTGAATTATAATCCTCATAACATAAAAAGGACCATATTTTTGAGTTTGACCTGATAGACTTTTTTTTTTAAAATTATATCATTTGTCCTAGGTAATACGTTTCAATGCAAAAATCTTTTGGAGAAAAATTTGTAAGGGTTCCGCGGAACCCAGTGTCTCGCCTATTTTTGCTGTTAATCGCAGGCTCAACAAAAATGAGGAAAAAAATTAATAAAAATATTCCTCTCTATACTATCTTTTGATTGTAAGTAGCTTCTGTCCAAGTTTGGTAAAAATCCAGGATAATTTATGAATCTAATAAATGTTTTAAAAACTTAAACTGCAGAATGTATGTAATGTTGACTGGAAGAAAAACTAAGTCCATTTAAAAGTAAAATATGGAAAAAATGGAACAAAATTTTATCAAAATTTCCTTCTAGATACTAGCTTTTGATCATAAACAAATCCAGGATAGTTTAAGAAAGTTGTTAAAATTTTGAAACTTTAACCACTGAGTGAATTTAATGTTTTCTGGCAGAAAAACTAAGTCCATTTATAAGTAAAATACGGAAAAAATCGAATTTTTTTTTTACAAAATTTACTTTTGGATATAATCTTATGATCAAAAACAAGCTTCTGTCCAAGTTTGGTAGAAATCCAGGATAGTTTAAGAAAGTTATTAAAATTTCAAAAACTTTAACCACAGAGTGAATATTTGTGGAAGCCGCCATCGACGACGGAATGTAGGATCGCTATGTCTCGCTTTTTCGACAAAAGTTGAAGGCTCGACAAAAAGCAGGTGCAATTTTTTTCATTTGCCTTTATTGTCTAAAAGAAATGCACTACGAAATAACTGGGTTCTTGGGCCACCTGCCTGATCTCAAACTTGCTCTTCTTTTTTGTTTGTTAGCAGAACTGGACTTCAGCTTTAATATATTTGTAAATTTGTAACTATAGGACTATTTTAGTTCAGATTGATTATTGAATTTCAAATGTAAAAGTTCTTGTTTTCTATTTCAAAATTAATATGGAAAACTTCTAGTGCACAAAAATAAAATCATCCATGACAGTTAAAGTTCAAACAAACTTCAATTATTTATAATCAAGACTATCGTGCTACATCAATGAAAATGTGTTGCTTTCTGTACAAGAGTAGTTATATATAAAGCTTTGAGGTTCTGGATCTATTTCTTATAACTAACCTTTGAGCATGCTTCCCAGCTTTGGTTTGGCCTTTTCAAGCGGACTTTCATTGAATTTATTACAAATACCAACCAAAGCACCATTATTTACCAAATCCTGAAATATGCAAATAAAATTTTACTTATAATAATGAAGGAACAAACACACAAAAGCAAATTGATTTTTGTGTATAAAAGAGTAGAGCCAGTAACACCAATAAAAAGCACTGTAAAGGTGTATGATTTAAACTTCAATTGTTTTGAGTAAAAATTGTAATTTGTACATCATGTACATTGTATGTATTTCTGAATATATTATTTTGAAAGTATAATAAGAAAAATTGTATGTCTGCTTCTTATGTTATCAATACAGCCTGAAATAGGAAAAATTATCATTTTAGTCAATTTTTCTAGATATTTGTCACTTTTTTATATGTGGCGCCACCCCTTGCCAATTAGAAATTGTGGTTGAAAAATATTTCAGCAATATTTTTCCCCAGATTTTTATGGCCAAAATTTTGAGTTAGTGAACCAATTCCTTTGTCAAACCAACAGAGGAGGTATCAACAACAGAGGAGGTATCATAAAAGCCATTTGTTTGTTAAAAGGTACATATTATATATACATGTCTTTTTTTAAGACTAATAGCATATTGTATAAATTCACTATGTTGATGATAGCAAGATCATTTAAGGATGTTCGCTCCTCTTGTTTTTGAATTTTTGCCAGATATTCGGAATCCTCTGGTTTTATCCATGCAGTACTATTTAAAAAATTTCCCCACTAACCCCTACTTTTCTTTTCATAATTTAATTACATATAGTTTAAAAAGCCATATTTGAAAATCCTATAAAATCCTTGTTATTTTTTCATAATTTTTTAAAGAAAAAGGGTGCCAATGTTAAATGTATGAAACGTCTAGAGAGGAATATTTCCCACCAAATTTTTAATGGCTTATACCTCGAAAACAAGCACACGGACCCTTCATTTTTTTCTGCTTTTACAGTTCCTTCATTTATATACTATTAATTTATAACAGTCTTTTAAAAAGCTAGTTATTTTGAAACAGAGTAGCGAACATCCTTAAATAATATTTACCTCTGCAATCTGATCTTTTCCCCAGAAAGCTGCATAATGTAGTGGCGTATTACCATGCTCATTGACAGCGTTTATATTGGCTTTGTTGTGTAGTAACTGAAATATATAATATAAGTTAATCAGCTGTCCTATGGGGTTCGTCAAATAAGCAACCTAAGTCTTGAAGGCAAAACAGTAGATTTGAGTACTAGATCGGTACTTTGGTTCTTTTATCTTTGTGTTACTTATTGTTGATTTTTGAGCTTAGTGCTGATCTGACGAGTTTCCTGTCTCCAAGCTGAAAAAGCAGGGTAGGTAGCTATAGCTAAGTAGGGATTTAATTTATCTTATTTTTTTTATTTTAAATTTTTTTTTCACCTGAGAAACGTAAATTTCAGAACGGAGGATACTCAAAACCATTGGTTATTGTCTGATTGATATTTTGTTTATGTTTGGATCCATGTAGATTAGACAATAAAAACAGGAATAGATGACCGATTCGGAAACTTTACCAAAATTGCAGGAAAAAATCATGGTAGAAGGTTCTGAGATAGGGAAAGTCGGGAAACAAGAAACAAGCATATACATTGTATTTTGTTAAGGCCTAATTTACCATCATAACAATATCCCTATGTCCATGGCTTGCAGCCAGATGTAAAGCTGTGTCATCTCCCATGTTAGTGGCATTAATTCTAGCACCTCTGGCAATCAGCATGTCCACTATGTTGGTCCTTCCTTCCCGTGCTGCCCAGTGCAGCAAACTAAATCGATGGTCATCACTAAAAAAAAAAAACATTTGTTTTGTAGTTACATCTTCAATGGTTGTTTTTGTTTAAACAAAAACATCCCATGCCAAACAGACAGACACAAACTTCAAGAACTACAAATTAAATGTTTTAATTAAACCATGTAGGATTGAATTTACTATAGCTAGCACCGGAATGTTGTTTGTCTGCATGTTGTCTATTAAACAATGCTTGACTACGCTTTAGAGAAGCTCTGCATAGGATGGGAAGATACACATTTTTTGTTTTCCAAACTAACAAGTTTCAGCCTTGAAAAATCAAGTGCAGTTAAATGTAGCTTCAGAAACATATTGATGCAGCATGTGTGCAGTGCACTCAAACATATTTTTTTATTGGTAAGTAAAAGCTGCTTAACTCTTCATCAACTTCATATAAAATCTAAAAATAATATTTTTTCAGCTACTGTGAATTCATTATTTTTCAAGGGATACCAATTTTCGTGGATTTCGTGGGCACAAGTGAACCACAAATTAAAATGTTGAACGAGTTACAAATTTTCCATAGGGTTGAATGCAGACTTTGGTAAAACCATGAAATCAAGTATCCACGAAAACGCGAGTCTTTCCCGAATCCATGAAAATAAATGTATCCACAGTATGAACATTGCAGAACACGACATATTATTTGATTGATTGATTGTTGGTGTTTTAATGCCACTTTTAAGCGCCACATTTGGGCTATTTCGTGGCGGCTAGTTTTTATTGGTGGAGGAAGCCGGAGTGCCTGGAGAAAACCATGACTTTCGATAGGAAAACTGACAATCCTAGTCAATTAAGATTGGAGTTGAGTGCACCCATATTATTTGAAGTTGCTTAAACAAACCTTTAGTCTTGATTTTTTAAATTTCTACTGAATTTAATTTTCTGATTTCACTTAACAATGAGGTAATTGAGTAAACTCAATAAAATCTTTCAATAAAATGCTTAGGAAATATATGTTGTTATATGCCAGTTATTATGTAGTTGTCTTAAGCTACATGAAAATAAAAATATATTATGTTTTCTGTTACAGAATTATTATCTTACCCTGACACAATTTTTTCCATTGCAAATACATGTACTGTCTCGACTGTGGATTGGTTAGTTTCATGGGTACCAATTTTCGTGGATATTTGATTTTGTGGTTTTACCAAAGTCTGCATACAAGCCGAAAAAAAATGTGGACTTCCTTGAACATTTAAATTTGTGGTTCACATGTACCCACGAAATCCACGAACATTGGTACCCCACAAATAATAATGAATCCACAGTGTATGTTAAATGAATGGGGAATGTGTCCATGGGACACAGATATGATGCCCCCGCTTACATATGACGTTATAAAGGGACATAACTCAAGAATAATAAAAGTGACGCTACCCAAATTCATACTTGATCTGAGTTTTGTGGTTATAAGCATATCAGTTTCATAACATTTGGAAGAGGCAAATTTAAGTTAGAGAACGGAAACGAAAAAAAATCAGCAATTTTTGCATTTGTAAAGGGGTATAACTCTAGAACAGTATAATTGACGCCACCAAAATTCGTACTTGATCTGTGTTTTGTGATAATAAGCATTGTGTATAAGATTCATAACATTTGGTTGAGGCAAACTTAAGTAAGAGAACGGAAACCAAAAATTCAGCAATTTTTCCATTTGTAAAGGGGCATAACTCTAGAAAGGTTAAAGTGACACCACCGAAATTCAACCTTGATCTGTGTTTAGTGGTATTGAGCATTGTGTATACGTTTCATAACATTTGGTTGAGGCAAACTAAAGTTAGAGAATGGAAACCAATTTCAGGACGTATGGACAAACGTACAGACGGACAAGGGTAAAACTTAATGCCCAGTCTGCTACGGTGGGGGCATAAAAAAATTGTTCCTTTCAAAAACATCAGCAATAACACTGTTTTAAAGATTCAACACCAGCAAGTGTGCTTGTATCTTAACCAGCTTGTGTGTAATTGCATTTACATTGTTTCATGGTTGTCAATAAATGGGTCTTATGAAAAAAATAAACAGGGGGCTTACTTAAATGAGTGATTTTCTAAATCACTGATTCAAGTAACATTATGTCCATAAAGGTTGGAAGTAAGAGTTGTCTTTCTTTAATAATCACCTTTTTAAGTAGTACAAATTAATCACTAGACTAAGTGATTTAATTTTATTGTAGCTTTAAATATAGAATACTAATGATCCAGGGACTAATTATGTTGCTAAAATTATCAGAACCAACATCTGTGTTGATAGGATGACCGGGTCAGGTTAGGTGATGACCTTGTACTAAATCTAGGATAATGACATAAAAATCACTTGCTTAAGTATCATACCTCAATTTCCTTCCAAAAAATCACTTCATAATGTATCATTATTTTGAAACCTTGAATTTTACAGGAGAAATATTCCCACTGCTGGGAAAAATCTGTTAAGAAAGTATCAGTTCATTATGTAAAGCCATTTTTATAGCATTTTTTCAACTGAAATAGAATTTGCAGCTAAATGATTGCATCAAGGGCATAAACTTTGCTGCATAAAAGAAGCAAAAAGTTCGTTTTTTAAAATTTTACTAATGAAAAGATATTATCTTAACCTATATGTGTTTAAAATTTTGGTAAAACTACAAAATCACAATTTGTGACAAAACTTCTAATTTGCTACTTAAATAAGTGATTTAAAAAATCACTTATTTCAATAAGTCCCCAGACTGATAAAGCTTGGAAAAATAAAGCAATGTATTTGTGGGCAAACAATTTTTTTTATTCTATTCAAATTTACGGTAGATAATTTGATCATATTCAGAGTGAGAAAACAATATATTTTTTTGGTCAAAACAGAAAGTACAAGAAAAAATCATTCATAATTTAAATGATTTAACATTGACCAACACTATCATGACTATAGGCACAATATGGTTTCATAATTGTTATATGCAGGTGGTAAGAAGTGTAAAGGCAGTGTTGGTTAAACAATGGTGATCATAATTAGGTCTTTCCACCTTTCCGTGGAAAGACCTATTGGTTTTCTTCTGATTATTTTTTTTTTCTTCCGCCTAATTTTTTTCTTGCGGTGTATTTTTGTTTCAAAAGATGTCGCTTAGTTTTTTGGTATATGATATCATACAGTCTATACGCTTTTGAAACTGACCCTGCTTAACCGAACACTTTTCTTTGTAAGAGTTATCTCCCCAAACACTGTTTTTCTTGTTATGAGATCTCCTCCGCAACCGTAAAAGAAAGCGACAAATTTATTTTTCCAAATTGCTCGTTATATCCTCAGGATGTTAGGTTTTATTTAGACTGAAGTTTTACGAAGACTCCATATGAGAGTTATTTCCCCTTTTGTATTTGATATATGTGAAATGTATTTGTAACTGGAAAACCATAAGTGATAGAGGCCTAGGGTCTTTTGATTTGAGGTCCTTGGTCCATAAAAATGAAACTGAGGTCAAGGTCAAAGGTCAAGGTCATGTTAAAAATTTTGATTTTGGCTTGTTATCACTAATTTTCAGAAATCTTATAAGATATCGACAATTTTTTTTACAGAATTGTTAGTTGCGACATGTCGTAACACGTAAATTTGAGTTGAAAGGGTACAGAGACATTTAATGGGAGTTTTCTCCCATATAATATTCAAAATTACACGTATGGTGATATAACTCATTCATCATATATATTTGAGACCTAGGGTCTTTTTATTTGAAGCCCTTGTTTCATGACCTTGAAATTTGGGCCAGGTCAAAGGTTGATTCGACGTTCTATATTTTGACCTTTGCTTTTACCTCATATATATACATGATAAAGCCATGGGACTTTTTGCATTAGGTTGCAAGCCATTTGACATTGAAAAAGTCAACCGGAAGTGACCTTTTGTAAACCGGAAGTAGCTATTTATTGTACTAAATTAATGTAAAAATATATAGAACTATATATTTTTGGAATCAGTGTCAAGTTAACTTTCAAATAATACCGGAAGTGACATTTTTCAATCCGGAAGTAAAAAATTATCTCCCTTATTTATATTTTTTTTGTAAAGAAACCATATATTTTTGGAATCAGCGTACATTAAGCTATCATTTGACGCTTGAATTGACATTTAAAATCTAATTTTAATATTTTTCATATCAAAATAGATCCTTACTGGAGGAAAGACCTTCAATTGTTCTCTGAACAATTGGTTTTTAATTTTAACTTATTTCCTTCTCTTCACTTCAAATATGCATCATTTCCTGAAAAAGTTTACAATTTCAGGAAATGCTACATCAACATACATTGTATAAACATGAGAAATATTGTTATCACAATTTAAAATGAAAGGTTTTTTTTAACAACACCTTTCCTGTTGCAATTTTCCCCACTTACAATAAAATGCTTCGCTGAGCGCAGCCTGATACGACCGCAGAGGTGGAACCCTGACCAGTTGGGGCAAATTTGGACACAATATTCAAGCTTGATACTGTCTGAATTTGGATTGTGATCAAATTTTTGAAATAATATAGGTTTCTGACACAAAATAAATGTGGTCAAAGATCTTAAAAATCTATTGCGCAATAATGTGCAATTGAAGATTTCTTCTTGAAAATTTCAAAAAATTTGAAATTTCAAAAATTTTGAAGAAAAACAGTATGAGCCCCCCAAAAAAATTAGAACCCCCCCCTTGGAGTAATTACCCCCAAACTCAATCCCAGCCTTCCCTTTGTAGTATGGAACCTTGTAGTACAATTTTAGAGAGATCCATACACTTAAACACAAGTTATTGTCTGGAAACTAGAAAAATGCTTGTTTTTGGCCCGTTTTTTGCCCCTAATTCCCGCATATTTGGGGCAATAACCCCCAAACTCAATCCCAGCTTTCCCTTTGTGATATGGAATCTTGTGGTACAATGTCAGAGAGATCCATACACTTACACACCAGTTATTGTCCGGAAACTACAAAAATGCTTGTTTTTGGCCCTTTTATGGTCCCTGATTTCTAAACTGTTGGTACCAAAACCCCAAAAATCAATCCCAACTTTCCCTTTGTGGTATTGTACCTTCTGGTAAAATTTCATAGAGATCTATTCACTTAAACAAAAGTTATTGTCCGGAAACCAAATGAGTCTTCAGACAACGACGACGACGCCGACGCCGACGACAACATCATAGCATTATACGAACCCAAAAATATTTTTGCAATTGTATAAAAACAATGCAAACATTTGTGAATTTAAAGTACACGTACAATTTCAGCCATTACATCATGTACAAAAAAATTAACATGTCAAAATGTATCTTTTCTTGTCACTAAAGACTTAAAAAGTCAATTTCAGAATTTGTTAAAGAAACTTTGAGACTTATAAAATCTAGACTTAAAATTATCTTCATTTCAAAACAACTGGTAAGGTTCATAACCATTTACTTGTTAAGATAAACTGAAAATGAGCTGCAAAGATCCTGACATGCATCATGTGCATTAACCGGTCACTAAAAATTCAAAATGTAGAGTCAGTGAAATTATAAAACATATGAGCAACTGCCTTCAATCATTTGACACAATCAAGCAGGTACATGTATTTGGACATGATCGAATATATTTTCAGCTTGATTAATTATCTTAACTTCATTCAAATTTTGCAAAACCAATTTGATACTAATTTTTACTAATTATGATAAACTGATAAATATTGATAAAATTTAAATTAATAAATGGTGAATATATATACTAAGTTTAGTATAATGTAAACGTTGTAGTACTACATGTACATGTAGTAGTATATTTCACATTTAATTAAGCTATTACAGATTTCTTTAGATCGCATATTACAGATTTCATTAAATTGCATGATCAAATTAAATAATAAACTTTTTTTCATACAATCTTTTGGTGTGTTGTTAATTGTTGTATCACTTATAAGAATATATGACAAATATATATCAGAGTCAAAAGTAGTCAATTAAAAATTGCATCTCCTTTTTGGGGATTTAATTTAATTGCTGAACTGTAATTCATTATAGTGTTTTGTTTCACAGGCCAACATGTTACACATTTAACTTGAAAAAAAATAATTGGCCACTTTATTTTGCACTTCAAATATCATCAACATTCCATATGGATATGGGGCAAGTGGTTGTATACATATGTATATTTCCTCACTAACATTCTTGTGTAATGAGAGGAAATACTGATAACTTCTGTCATAAGTGAGATAGTAGAACTACTACTGCTCATTCATAACAGTCAATTTAGAAAATAAATTCCCAAAGGTAGCATAAAAATGGAATCTAAAAAATTATATAAAATCAGTTTTAAAATGTAACTTTAAAACTAGTTGAAATCTAAATGTATACAGAGACTAAGGTATATTTAATACTTAAAGTTTTTAAAAATAATCCATGATTAAAATTTATTGTTGTTTTTAAGGCATTCCCTACATGAACCCCAGTAATAACCATATCCTTGTAAGGAATTTGCATAGACCAATCAACATCAGTGGGAAACTGAATCACAAATGGGGTATCTAAAGGGGGACAGTATGGTACTAAACAGAAAATATATATTTTAAAAATGCAATGGGTAGCAAATATTTTGATTTACCCGTTTTCTTAGACAAGGCATTTAAGTAATGTTATTAATAATAGTAAGCTGTGCATGACACTGAAACATGCAATATTTCCTTACCCCTGATTCAGGTCATTTTCTGTGTTATCAAGCCAAACTCGCACGTGAAATGCATTTCCTTCTCGCACCTGAGTAAAAATGTCTTCCATACTAATACACTTTTTGACTCTTTAACTCAGGTCAATGACAAATGTTTAAAAATGCAACAAAGTCAATGTAAACAAACTGCAGTGGCCAAGCCCCCAACTCCAACCGGGCTTGGTCTAGAATGCGGTAGTTCTACTAAATACACCAAAAATACAAATCACGTTATTAATCGACCACACATGATGCCTTTAAATAGGTGTCCATGCTAATATTAAGTCAATTCTTGTTAAACTTTTAAAGAAAAACGGTCTTTTATGTGGATCTTCCCATCCCAAACTGGCCTCCAGATTATAAAAAGTATATCTGAAAATCATGTAAATATTGCACAACGAACTTTAAGATGAGTCAGATAATATGTACTGTATACACGTAAAACGGTAATTTGGTAAGACCATTTATTAAATAAGAATAAAAACAGATGAGTACTCCTGAAAAATCACTCATTAAATTTATTCTGTGATGTTATTTTCTGTAACAAATGTACATTCATGTACATGCTTTCTTTCTGGTTCTAGTCTTTTCTGTGTAGGGTAAAAAGAAAGTTATCTTCCGTCTGCAGTGCGATACCTTTTCCGAAAAAAGTAAGATTGTGCACATAACAAGGGTATTAACATGATATTCTTTATTTATCATATATATACAATGTAGTTCATTATCTTTTATTTGTCTAATTTTATTGTTATTCTTTACAATCTACAAAAGAGGGACGTAAGACACCAGAGGGACAGTCAAACTCATAGATCGAAAACAAACTGACAACGCCATGGCCAAAAATAAAAAGTCAAACAGACAAATAATAGTACAGATGACACAACATAGAAAACTAAGTACTAAACAATTGTCATGCAAAATGGAAATCAGTAGTCAGTATCGTGAACGAAATTCGTAAAAAGTAATGTCTTTACTTCAAGCTGGGACCGTAAGTACTTTACTAGTTTAATAGTCCCAGCTGCAAGCGAATTTAGATTTTCGAAATTTGATTTTCGAACTTTTTCCGTGATTTTTATGTGACTTCGACCCTACTCTCCTTTAAAGGAAAATCTCACGGTCGGTGGGCCGAACCGTCCATGCAGTCCCTTTTAACATCCTGGGCCTAAGTTCATCAATAACGCCGGATGACACAATGTTGTGGAAATGGACAATCAAGATATTAAGTAGTCTCCTAACTTCTATTATTGAAATTGTTATTTGTGTAATAAAGCATATGGATATGAAGGAATTAACATCGGAGTATCAGAAGCTCTTTAGATGTTTTGGATAAATTAAGTGCTTTCGATGTTCCATTCAACTCTGTAAAATTCGATTGACATTTATGATTTTTCTCATCTGTACACTACACTACCACATTATCTTATCAAACAGAAGTTCTCTTATTTAATTAAATGGCCCTTTGATAAATCTAGTTGCAGATTTATGTCACCGGCTGCAACTCGATCATAACTGGTAAGTTATTATTATTATTCAGGGATTTCGTTACCACACAAATTGATTAAAACCTTTACCAAATTCTTTCATAGTTACAAATATTTGATAAAAAGTTTAGCTGTTCCTGTACAATTTTTATCAAAAACGGGATATCACATCCTAATTTTTACGGTATTGTTGTTAATAGATCCCGTAAATTTAGATAAGATCCATGTAAACTCATTGATGCTTTGAATAAACATATCCTTAAAGGTTATCAATTAAACACAGTAGTAATATTGTTAAGTATTGTTTCTTTTTTTTTTTCATTACTATCTAGTTTTGTTTTTGAAAAATCAAAACATGACTAAATATTTGGTACCAATATATACAGTTATGAGAATTCAGGATCCTACATCCTGTCGATACCGTTTACTTATATTTTGGAATTGCACAAGGTCATGCGTTTCTGAGACTGTTTGTGGCGTCTTTACACTAAATGCGTTGGGTGTGTACACATTGATGCTTTAGTCTTGGAGAACATAATTTATTTATATCAATTAAGTTGTAATTGACTTTGAACTAGCTTTCAGTAACTGCGAGGACTCGTATATCCGTGCTTTGAGTCTATTGTTATTATGTTAGTTGTTTTGTGCATCGTATCGATCTTTTGAGTTAAGCCAATTGCAACTGAATTTTACCGTGTGTTCTTGTGTTGTGCTGTAACCTCAATGTCCGAGGTTAGGGGAGGGTTAAACGCTCACAAAAATGTTTAATCCCGCCATGCGGTGCACAGCCTGTAGGTCAGTAGTTGTCGATGGATCATGTCCGTCTTATTTTTTTCGTACATTGTTTTCTTATAAATTAGGCCGTTAGTTTTTTCGTTTGAATTTCTTCACATTTTTCATGTCGGAGCTTTTTAAAGCCGACTATACAGCATGGGTAGTTCTCATTGTTGAAGGCCGTACGGTGACCTTTAACTGCTTATATCTACTTATTTGAACTCTGGTGGATAGTTGTCTCATTGACAAAAGCTCATTACAAAGCGTGGGCATATGATATGTTTTTTTAATCAGATTGTTATTTTCATGACTTGTATGAACCACTGGTTTTAAATATACGTGAGATCAAATGACAAAGAAGTTAACAACTATAGGTCACCGTACGGCCTTGAACATTGAGCAAAATTAAACCCATACCGCATAGTAAGCTATAAAAGGCCCCGAAATGACAAATGTAAAACGTATGCTATAAATCAAATCAAATCAAATCATTTTTATTTTCCAGTCAGGGGCCATTTACAATTAACAATTATAATTAGATATGACAATATAAGCAAAAAACCTGAGACATTGTACAGCATATAATGTGACAGATATTATATAATAGACGCATGAAAATAGCATTAATAATAAAAATACATATTATAAGTACTATTTCTATGTGCGGCAGTGCACCTCGTGTTCACATCAGCACAATTATCATTTAAGACAACACAGCTACACAAGCAACAGTTAACAGGATGACTTGAACAATAAATTATTAATTAAAGAATGGCACATAATTTTGAAAGTAGGGTCAACAGGTGTTTGCTACAAAAAACAACAACACTAGCGAAGGTATGTATTTGAAATAGTCGGGCCGTCATAAGAAAGAACCGTTTTTACTGAATGAGTGAGGCTATACCATTTGTTACTCTTGTTGTTGAAAGATTTCAGAAATTTCGCGAGTTTAAATATATCATTTTTTCTTGTTTGTTTAAGATATATAAACAACATTGATAAGGTGAGAAAGTATAACAAAAACACCGAAGTCCATGACAAATTCAAAAAGGGGAAGTCTATGAAAACTGACAAAATCAAACGCTATCAATCAACGGAACAAGTGCCATGAGAATTATCATCTTACATATTTTTTTTAAAAGAAACATAATATTTACAGATAGGATGTTGATTACGATTGTATTTTTTTTTAATTTGAAAAGTCTGCTGTATCTGTAACCTTGTAAAAGTAAGTTTGTGCCGTTAATGCAACATATTAGGCGTACGCTCTATATAATCAATTTCAACAGAACTTATTTTAGTAAGCCGTTTAAGTCGCGGTACATGCAATCCGGCGGATACGACAAGAGGGACATCGCCGTCCATAAAAAATTATGATGACAAATTGAGATCGTCTCTTTTTTCGTAAATTTTAAGTAAAATTGTATAGTAATGATTGTTGTTATTGGGCTTTAAAAAGCCGAAGTTCTTTTTTAATTTTGATTAAAAACATTAAGTGGCATATTAGAAAATTTTCGGGATTATTAACAGTAAGTACATCAACTAGGTATCTGCTGTTATTGTTGATTTTACGTTTTTTTTTCACGTTATTTGTTTCAAGTTATTTTTCCATTTAAGATGAATCGTAATAGCAGAGACATATAATACAACTCTGAGTTGCGAATCACTTGTATTATATGTCTCTGGTAATAGTAAAGAAAAAGCTCTGTAATATTAGAGGTGCACAGTTAATTAGTATCCATATGAATTCCGATAATTTGATGATATAAAATCTTGCCATAATTTAAAAAAGATATTGTCAACTTCGAGAAATTTGAGACCTTAATCATGTCTTATACTGATTTGTCAATAGTATATTACGTAGAACAATCATACAACTGTCAATAGAATTTAGTATTTTTTCTTTTAAGAAACCACTAGTACTTTTTACACCCCTAATAATTGTTTATGTAAAAAAACAAAAGAAAAGCAAATAATAAGATATACAGCCACTGAATTACATTATAAACAGTGTCCTCTTGTTGGCCTTAAGAATTTACAGACATCCTGCAGTGAGCCTCAAATCTTTTTAAAGTTCCGAATCAGTCATACGTTTTCATAAAATTTGTGAAAAATAACATTTACAATCAAGACAACATTCAAACAAAATACAGATACATCCTTTTATACTTATTAATCAATAAATAATGAAAAATACATATAAAATAGTAATGAATATACATACAATTAGCAATAATTGCATACAAACAATAAAAGCGTCTCTGAAACGTTGACGATTGCGAAACATGTGGAAATAGGAGGCCGCCATATTAACCAGTGTGAAGAAGCCGGTGTGTCTCCACTGTGTATTTCTCAACTTTTCACGACTATGTATGAGTTTACAGTTGTAACAATTTTAAATATCACTCTAAGAGCATGAAATTTACTGCTGTCTATCTTTTATCGAGAAGTATTCGATAAACTGCCTGGTACTGTGGTAGAAAATTTGGTCTTGTGTCATTGCCATATGTCAGGTTTTCAACAACCTTTAAATAGGTCATCAATACCCATTAATTGGTTGTTTATACCTCAGTTTGTCATGAAATAGAAGTTTCTTCATATAATAAGTTTCAAGTGGGTGAAATATTCTGTAATATTATTTCCACTGGAAATATTGTTCCTCGTGGAATAAAGGGTAGAGAATGCATATGTCTTCCATCAAGAACAGTGGTATCCAGTCTTTCCGTCCCCAAACCCATCCGACCCCAAGTCGATCCGGCCCAAAGTCGATCCGTCCCAAGTCGATCCGGCCCACGTTGATCCGTCCCTACGTCGATCCGGCCCCATAATAAAATATGAATAAACTATATTGACTTTGGAGGATTTTGTGATAAATTTTAACAGTATAAATGGAATTTGTAAAAAGTATCGTTGATGGATGAAAACAGGTAAGTGAAGTATTGGAGTACCAGTCAAAGAAATATTTTACATCGATACGAAAATGAGTGTGATTGTGTCTGTTTGTATAGCAGCTTCAACATATTTTTATATGAAGTTATTTTCCATGATAACTTTGAATGTCATGGCGATTTTTATTTTATTTAATTCACACACAGAATAGCTAAATCAATATTTACAGTCCAATGGAACCTATAAAATTTAACTCATCATAATGACTTGTTTAATCAAATCATTAGTCTATAATTGGTTTGTTTATTCAACAAATTGTCTAATGATTGTGAACTAAGGTAATGCCACTCGTAATCACTTAATTCAATCAAATCCTGATTGATTAAAGTTACGTAATCAACAAGGTCTTTATAGTTTGATCTTTTGTTTGGTGTTATGTGTTATAATAATTAATTGTATTTTTTTTTAAGGTAACATCAGAGGCTTCTATAATACAAGTTTTTTTTTTTGTAATATCGAATATAGTCAATATATTTTTTTAAAGTTGACAATATTTTGAATAGTTGTGTGTAGATAAAAAAACAAGTTATATGAGTATCCATTATTCTTTATTGCAAGATAATAACAAAATAATTACACTGAATGCACATTTTCACTCTCTAAAATATAATATCAGCATTACTATAATATAACAATAAATTCATACACACTAACAAACACACTATCTCTGACACTCACATAAATATATATAACTCTTAAATCATTTACACTAACAGTTACACTGTCACTTACATAATATAAAAGGGGTCACACTTGCAGCACTACAATAACATATACAGTAACTATCATACGCAGTACGTATACATATATAATATATATCCATTAATCTTGAAAACTTGTAATGAAAACATAATTAACATAGTTGTTTTAAACTCATCTGAAGAAAATATTTGTCAAAGGCCAATTTTTTTTTTACCGTACACCTTTTACATTATAATAAAATTCATAAACATTTATGAATTACAATTAATATATATCTTTAGTTTTATTCCTTATAAATATATTTTTTTATTGGGCCGGATCGACTTTAAATATGGGCCGGATCGACGTGGGACGGATCGACTTGGGCCGGATCGACATGAACAGTTACTATGGGATTGTTTATACATGTACCAAAGTTACCAGGGAAAAACTGTTGGACAGAACAAATATACGTTTACAAATTCAATTATAATCCACCATTTGATGTATTATATTGAAATAGTCATGTAGGTACTGAGGTATAACTGTATTAGTCAGGTTGGAGAAGATCCTCATAAATGGGTACTACATGTATTCCCATTTATGGGTATTTATTATACCCAAAATTGGGTATCAATTACAGTGATAAAAAATCAAATTTTGTATTTCATCATGATAGCTGTCATGGTGCAAATATTCATATAAATGGCAACATTTTTCCCTTTACAACCATAGTTCAAAGGCCAAATAAAAATATATGTGTGGTTCCAGTTACATACTGAAAAAAACTGGTTGGTTACGGTCAGAATTTAAAAAAAAAAAATTTTGATTGTCAAAATTTGGAAAAAAATTGTGTGTTCACGTAATCCTATTCAGGTATTATTCACGCCCTTACCGGAAGTTTCTCTATATGTTTGGTTGTAAAATAGACAGACAAGTTACTTTTTTAGTTAATTTTGTTGCATTCTGTTAAGAATTTGTTGCATTTTTAGCCATAGTCAGTCAGAGCTCTGACATAAACAAGTCCGAATTGTCAAGACTTGTGCAAGTCAGATTATGCATTTTTACAAAGTAGTAATAGCATTTTTAGACTTTATAAAGTCAGAATATGCCCGACTTATTCAGGTCAGATTATGTTCAGTGGATTGTGAAGTTTCAGTATTTTAAGATTTGTAGCAAACCTATTCATTAAGTTACCATGAATATTTGTATGATGCATAACAATACCAACATCTATCTTTTCATGCTGGTTTTCAAGTAAATCCTTTGTTTATACAGAATATTTTTTACAATTTATCACAAATACATACTTACATAAAATGGTTAATTTCATAAAATTTCTTTTTTTAAGGGTCTTATTCATATTTTTTGTTGATAAAAAAGTGTTTGTGGAAGGCATTTTTAACCTTTTTATGTGGATGCTCAACTTTTAAATATGGGTGCATGGCCCTAAAAGGTTGACATTTTAAGTATATTTCTGACTTTAAGAAGTCAACAAAAAATTTGTTTTTGTTTTGAGGAAAAAATTGCATAATGTTTCATCTGACTTGAAGAAGTCAGTTTTTGTTTCAAAATGATGGGAGGTAACTCATGACACCAAATATTCTGACTTTCACAAGTCACAAATCTCTGACTTGTTTATGTCAGAGCTCTGACTGGTAGTGGATACTTCTAATGGAAATTCAGATAATAGAAGTCTGTGAATTAAACTATTGAAATTCAAATTCAACAAAATGAGATCGTTTGTTCAAAATTTATATTTTAGAAATGGAAAAAAAAGTTCTAGGTTGGGGGGGTTTAAACTAGGGTAGTTGGGTAACTGGAAACACATATATTTTTATCTGGCCTAACGAGAACTGAATACAAAGATAATGGCCTCCAAAAATCATATTTTTTGAAGGCTGTTAACTTTTATCCTGATGATATTTCATCCATGGTGTTTAGGCAAAATGTTGTCCTTTCCCTGAGTGATTGCGCCATGACAGAACAAATCTGGAAATCCATAGTTTATATATTTTTGTCACTGAAAATTGATACCTGTTTTGACGATCCTCCCCAACCGGTTGGTAGTTGTACCCAGATTGGCGATAGATATTAAATTTGCATTTGTAATGAACCAAGTTTAATTATTTATTATTGTCAATAAGACATGTCTTTATTTTGAAAGCCAGGGAAAATGCACGTTTTTAGAAAGTTCATTCAAGTTTAGGTAGATTCCAGATTTCCCAAAAATATCATAACTGAGGATTGGTGGGGAGGGGTTTATGGTTTTTCGTCCAAAACATATTCTGATTCCTGAATTTGAAGAACAATTTTGATCAGGGGGAAGGGAAGAATAAATATTCTGATTGAGAGTTTCTGCCATTGAATTTAATGTTAAGTTCTTGTCTGACAAAAAAATAATTATTTGATTCCTGTGTAATGCAATGAAAATTTAAAATAAAAAGACTTATCCCCCCCTTCCCCTCTGATTACTTTCCTACCATTCAGTGACATTTTACGACTTGTTTAATTTTTTTCAGAAACAATGTCGAAAACACAAGATAAATTAACCCGTATTGCTATTGTCAGCAATGACAAATGTAAACCAAAAAGATGCAGACAGGAATGTAAAAAGTCTTGTCCTGTTGTAAGAATGGGTGAGTAGATCTAGAAATGTAGTTAAATCTTGTCCTGTTGTAAAAATGTATGAGTAGAAATATAATTTGGTCTTGTCTTAATGCAAAAATGAACAATAGCTTAATTGTTCCAATTATTGTCATGGTTACTTAGGTAGAGAGATCAGCTTCGTGTAGTTAAATAAATTTTGAGTAAGTCCTCAGAATTTAAGACATAATTGTGTTCTGCAGGTTATTTTCGTGCATCGTTTTCAGGAATGGAATTTAAAATTAATTATGTAGTAACCAGGTTACCAGATTTGTTTCTGACATGAATAAGCTGCTTATGAAATCAAGTAAAAAGCTTTCAATAAAAAAACGAATATCTTATTGACCTTCAACATTATTCAGATTTGTAACTCTAAACTTTATTGCCAGTCAAACTGAATACTTATCAATGCTTATATTATTATGATTTAATCTGTTTACACAGGAAAGTTGTGTATTGAAGTGAGCCCTACTGACAAGATTGCTTTCATATCTGAAGAACTGTGTATTGGTTGTGGTATATGTGCCAAGGTAAGATTTTATATATGAAGAACTGTGTTTATCATTATAAGTTGTGGTATATATATGTGACAAGGTCATACAAAACTTGTTTTTTGTTGAAATGTAGAACACAAGTATAATACATATTGTTTTATAATTGCAAAAGCAAGACTAAGTGCTGTTTCTGGCGGTGGAAGTTAGAGTACACAAGTGAGACACTACTTTCAGTCTGTGGTAACAGTATATATCTGAACTTTTTTGGAGGTTGAGGACAAAATTGTTGAAAATCTATTTAACTAGAATAGGTTCAGTTTAGAAAATATTATTACAGTTTTCCATGATTGTTAGTCATTATACAGTCTCACCAATGGCAAGTGAAGATGTCTCCTGAATACCATTATAGGATGCATGACTCACAGACAGAGGCTCAGAGTTTGGCAAAAACTGTAAATTTAATTTTTCCATTTCAGAAATGTCCTTTTGAAGCCATTACAATCATCAACTTGCCCAGTAATCTTGAGAAAGATACTACACACAGATATAGTGCAAACTCCTTCAAATTACACAGGTTTGTCTTTTCAGAGAATTATGAACAGTTTTTAATGTTGAAAGTATTGAAAAAAAAAACTGAATTATCTTTATACGACCGCAAAAAATATTTTGGGATCGTATGATGTCGTCGTCGTCCGAAGACACATTGGTTTCCGGACAATAACTTTAGTTTAAGTGAATGGATCTCTATGAAAGTTTTTAAGAAGGTTCAATACCTCAAAAGGAAAGTTGGGATGATGAAAGGGGCCCAAAACAAACATTTTTCTAGTTTCAGGATAATAACTTGTGTATAAGTATTTCGATTGCTCTGAAATTGTAAAACAATGTTTAATACAGCAAGTAGAAGGTTGGGATTCATATTAGGGGTTATGGGGCAAACAGTTTAGGAATGAAGGGCCTAAAAGGGGCCAAAAACAACAATTTTTGTAGTTTCTGGACAATAACTTGTGTGTAAGTGTATGAATCTCTCTGATATTGTACCATAAGGTTCCATATCACAAAGGGAAGGCTGGGATTGAGTTGGGGGGTAATTGCCTCAAACGTAGGAATTAGGGGCCAAAAACGTGCATTATTCTAGTTTCCAAACAATAACTTGTGTTAGATGTGTATGGATCTCTCTGAAATTGTACTACAAGGTTCCATAATACAAACACTACAAACCAGTAAAAGTCTGAAATGGCCTATATTTGTACTCGACTGAACTGATTTTTACTCGACCAGTCTGAATTGGTCTGAAATTTACTTGATATTACTCGACTGTAGTCTGAACCATACTAAACAGTCTGAACTTGTATTCAACCTTTACTCGACCAGTACTTAACCATTTTATTCGAGTCTGAACCATACTCGACATAGTCTTAACCATTCTTGACCAAGTCTGAACCATGCTCGACCTAGTCTGAACCATACTCGACCTAGTCTGAACCATACTCGACCAAGTCTTAACCAACCTAGACCTATTTTTTGTATCTATCTATATTATTTTTTCATTAATTTAGGAACTGTTATTCATATATATATATATATATATAAAATGTATATCACATTTAAAATTAAAATAAAACAAGGTGATAAAATTTCTGGTTGGATTAGAAAAATATCATGTAATAAATTAAGTTCGTTAAATGAATTTTTATATACATGATATCATGTTCACATTGATTTATGCACATCAAAAATACTAGAACTTTCAACCATTATTCAAATATCTTAAATGTTATTCAATTTTTTTTTATCAAAATATATATAAAATAGTATATAAAGCAACTTAATAAATGTTAAAATTGACACCTTTGTTTTGTAAAACCAAAAATTTAATATAATAATAATAATAATAAAACTTTCATAGCAATCCTTGATAACCTTTTAAAAAAGGAAATGTATTCCAAAGTTGCAGTAGAAAATTTATTTTGATTAAATTTAAATATGTTTTTTCAAAATTAAAGACATGGCATACAAGAAGCAGTTTAATAAGGTTTAATGGTTTAATTACCTCAGTACAGGTGTGTTTTACAGGTAAAAAGAAAACCATATTTTTCTTAAACTCGTGTATTACTTATCTAGTGAATTCAAAAGGCCTTGTTATTTAAGTTTTACAGGATGTTGTAATTTTCAATGGATGTTATTTAAAATTTATTACTCTCTGACCAGGTGTGATCTTTTTAATCTGTGTGCATCAAGCAGGATGTATTACTTTATAGTTTACCCCTAATCAGAAGAAAAATTTTATTCATTTCTTTAATTTTTTATCCCTTTTAAAATATATATATATATCCCAAATTATACATAGGAATAGATATATTTCTGATATAAGGTTAAACAATGTCAGTGATTTTGTTGGCTGTTGTTACCTCATTAAAATGATAGTTATATAACTATTGTATGTAACCATGAAACCTAAGTACTGAAAGTCACAGGACAAAAAGTCACAGGACAGAAAGTCACAAATTTGATAGGACAAAAAGTCACAAATAATTTGTATACAATTGTTTGAATATTTATGAGAAAGATCTTGAAATGTTTACTTTTTATTACACATATTCATTTTACAGTTTAGGAAATTGTTCATAAGACTTAATTTGATAAATAAAGATTTATAAAATTTTAATCATGCAAAGGATATATTTCTTGGCACCATGAAGCCATTTAAGAACCAAGACATTGTAACATTTTGTTTTCTTAACAATTATTTGATCATTATTGATATTGTTTCAAGAAAAATACAAAAATGTTTTTTTTAAAAATAAGTGTTTTATTGTTCAAAGAAAAATAATCTCAAAACTGAATTGTGACTTTTTATACGACCGCAAAAATTGAAAATTTTTTGGTCGTATATTGGTATGACGTTGGCGTCGTCGTCGTCGTCGTCTGGCGTCGTCCGGCGTCGTCCGAAGACACATTGGTTTTCACACTCTAACTTTAGTTTAAGTGAATGGATCTCCATGAAATTTTACCATAAGGTTCAATACCACGAAAGGAAGGTTGGGATTGATTTTGGGGGTTATGGTACCAACAGTTAAGGAATTAGGGGCCAAAAAGGGGCCAAAAATAAGCATTTTTGTAACTTCCAGACAATAACTTGTGTGTAAGTGTATGGATCTCTCTGACATTGTACAACAAGGTTCCATATCACAAAGGGAAGGCTGTAATTGATTTTGGGGGTAATTGCCTCAAAATTTTAGGAATTAGGGGCCAAAAAAGGGGCAAAAAACAAGCATTTTTCTAGTTTCATGACAATAACTTGTGTGTAAGTGTTTGGATATTTCTGAAATTGTACTACAAGGTTCCATATCACAAAGGGAAAGCTGGAATTGAGTTTGTGGGTAATTGCCCTAAACGTTTAGGAATAGGGGGCCAAAAAGGGGCCAAAAATAAGCATTTTTCTAGTTTCCAGACAATAACTTGTGTTCAAGTGTATGGATCTCTCTGAAATTGTACTGCAAGGTACCATACCACAAAGGGAAGGCTGGGATTGAGTTTGGGGGTGATGAATCATAAGGGGGTTCAAAAAATTTGGGGGGGGGGGATCTTTTTTTTTTCTTTTTTTCCTTTTTTTTTTTCTTTTAAAATTTTCCATTTTAAGTTGGTTATTTCTGATTAATATTTAAAAGCAAATAATAATGATATGGTAGGAGATACACACCAAACAGGATGTGTAAATTATTATATAATAAGTATTGTGCAATAGCAAGAAATTTTCAATTGCACAGTATTGCACAATTGCAAGAAATCTTCAATTGCACAGTATTGCGCAATAGCAAGAAATCTTCAATTGCACAGTATTGCGCAATAGCAAGAAATATCCAATAGCACAATATTGCGCAATAGCAAGAAATTGTCAATTGTACAGTATTGCACAATAGCAAGAAGTATTCAATTGCACAGTATTGTGCAAAAGAAGATACTTCGTATAAATTGCTTATTTCTTGATCAATTTCAATGGGGTTTTATTCTTGAATTCTTGGGGTTCTTTAAAATGCTGAATCTAACCAAGTATTAAGTTTTTGGATTTTGGGCCCCGTTTTTAAATTGGTCCACATTGAGGTCCAAAGGGTCCAAAATTTAACTTTGTTTGATTTCATCAAAAATTGAATTATTGGGGTTCTTTGATATGCGGAATCTAACCGTGTATTTAGATTCTTAATTTTTGGTTCCGTTTTCAAATTGGTCTACATTAAGGTCAAAAGGGTCCAAAAATAAACTTAGTTTGATTTTAACAAAAATTGAATTTTTAGGGTTCTTTGATATGCTGAATCTTAACGTATATTTAGATTTTTGATTATGGGCCCAGTTTTCAAGTTGGTCCAAATCGGGGTCCAAAATTAAACTTTGTTTGATTTCAACAAAAATTGAATATATGGGGTTCTTTGATATGCTGAATCTAACCATGTATTTAGATTTTTGATTTTTGGGCCCCGTTATCAACTTTGTCCACATTGAGGTCAAAAGGGTCCAAAATTAAACTTTGTTTGATTTCATCAAAAATTGAATTCCTGGGGTTCTTTGATATGCTGAATCTAACCATGTATTTAGATTTTTTATTTGTGGACCCGCTATCAAATTGGTTCATATTGAGGTCAAAAGGGTCCAAAATTAAACTTTGTTTGATTTCATCAAAAATTGAATTATTGGGGTTCTTTGATATGCCAAATCTAACCGTGTATTTAGATTTTTAATTTTGGGTCCCGTTTTTAAATTGGTCTACATTAAGGTCCAAAGGGTCCAAAATTAAACTTAGTTTGATTTTAACAAAAATTGAATTTTTGGGGTTCTTTGATATGCTGAATCTAAACATGTGTTTAGATTTTTGATTATGGGCCCAGTTTTCAAGTTTGTCCAAGTTGGGGTCCAAAATTAAACTTTGTTTGATTTCAACAAAAATTGAATATATGGGGTTCTTTGATATGCTGAATCTAAACATGTATTTAGATTTTAGATTTTTGGCCCAGTTTTCAAGTTGGTCCAAATTGGGGTCCAAAATTAAACTTTGTTTGATTTCAACAAAAATTGAATATATGGGGTTCTTTGATATGCTGAATCTTACCATGTATTTAGATTTTTTATTTGTGGGCCCGCTATCAAATTGGTTCATATTGAGGTCAAAAGGGTCCAAAATTAAACTTTGTTTGATTTCATCAAAAATTTAATTATTGGGGTTCTTTGATATGCCAAAATCTAACTGTGTATTTAGATTTTTAATTTTGGGTCCCGTTTTTTAAATTGGTCTACATTAAGGTCCAAAGGGTCCAAAATTAAACTTAGTTTGATTTTAACAAAAATTGAATTTTTGGGGTTCTTTGATATGCTGAATCTAAACATGTGTTTAGATGATTGATTATGGGACCAGTTTTCAAGTTGGTCCAAGTTGGGGTCCAAAATTAAACTTTGTTTGATTTCAACAAAAATTGAATATATGGGGTTCTTTGATATGCTGAATCTAAACATGTATTTAGATTTTAGATTTTTGGCCCAGTTTTCAAGTTGGTCCAAATTGGGGTCCAAAATTAAACTTTGTTTGATTTCAACAAAAAATGAATATATGGGGTTCTTTGATATGCTGAATCTTACCATGTATTTAGATTTTTTATTTTGTGGGCCCGCTATCAAATTGGTTCATATTGAGGTCAAAAGGGTCCAAAATTAAACTTTGTTTGATTTCATCAAAAATTGAATTATTGGGGTTCTTTGATATGCCAAATCTAACCGTGTTTTTAGATTTTTAATTTTGGGTCCCGTTTTTTAAATTGGTCTACATTAAGGTCCAAAGGGTCCAAAATTAAACTTAGTTTGATTTTAACAAAAATTGAATTCTTGGGGTACTTTGATATGCTGAATCTAAACATGTGTTTAGATTTTTGATTATGGGACCAGTTTTCAAGTTTGTCCAAGTTGGGGTCCAAAATTAAACTTTGTTTGATTTCAACAAAAATTGAATATATGGGGTTCTTTGATATGCTGAATCTAACCATGTATTTTGATTTTGGGCATTGGACCATAATAGGTAAATTAAAAAAATTGAAGTTCTTAGACCACATTCTTTCTGTGTCAGAAACCTATGCTGTGTCAAATATTTAATCACAATCCAAATTCAGAGCTGTATCAAGCTTGAATGTTGTGTCCATACTTGCCCCAACTGTTCAGGGTTCGACCTCTGCGGTCGTATCAAGCTGCACCCAGCGAAGCATTTTATTGTCCTGTGACTTTCTGTCCTACATTCTTTTTTATTTAGGAATTTAGGAAAATCAAGTTTTGTTTGAAAAAAAACACATGCCAAACAAAAAGCACCTTATTTTTAATAAGGTTTTATTACCCTCAGTATTGGTGTGGTTTTCAGGTAAAAAAAGTCTTTTATTTAACAAGACTCAGTCAGACTTTAAAATTAGATAATTTAACTATCTCGATTTGCCAAATCTAAGAGAATCATGTATTATTAAAGAATGTAAAAAAATGTTTTTATATATATCTTTATTTAATTGTGGCTGTTGTCATGTAAGTTAAAGAGAAAGTTATTTTAACAATCAAAATTATAAAGAAGAGGTTATTTGGTCAAGTATGGTTCAGACTGGTCGAGTATTGTTCAGACCTTTGGTTGAGTATGGTTCAGACTGAAAAAATAGGTCGAGAGCTGGTCGAGTACTGGTCCAAACTGGGTTAAGACTGTTTCAGACTGGTCGAGTAATAGTTGAGACTATTTTCAATAGCAAAGATAATGGTCAAGTACAAATCAGTACAGTCGAGTATGGTTAAGACTGGGTCGAGTAATATTAAGTAAAATTCAGACCAATTCAGACTGGTCGAGTAAAAATCAGTACAGTCAAGTACAGATATAGGCCATTTCAGACTTTTACTGGTTTGTAGTGAAAGGAAAGAATTGGATCAAGTCTTGGGGTAATTGCTCCAAAGGGGGATTCCAAAAGTCGTGGGGGGGGGGGGGGGTTTCCAATTTTTATAAGGAATTCATATTTTTTTCAAAAATTTTCAAATTTCAAATTTTGTAAAAGTTTCAAGAAGTAATCTTCAATTGCACAGTATTGCGCAATAGATTTGTAAGATCTTTTACCACATTTATTTTGTGTCTGAAAGCTATATTATGTCAAAAATTTGATCACAATCAAAATTCAGACAGTATCAAGCTTGAATTTTATATCCAAATTTGCCCCAACTGCTCAGGGTTCGACCTCTGCAGTCGTATCAGGCTGTGCTCAGCGAAGCATTTTATTTTAGACACTGCAAAGTCAATATTGGCACTCAATGTACAATGAATTTTGTTCACAGATCCAAGAAAAAATTGCTCCAGATATAACTGAAAGTTACTTTCCACTTATGGATTGAATTGGGTGAAGACGAATACCATTATTATCTGTGTTTGTTTGAGTTGAATTTTTATACGCCCGTTTACGGGACGTATTATGGTATACCTCTGTCCGTCCATCGTCAATATGTCGGACATTAACTCAAAAACTCTTTAACCAATTTGCATAAAACTTTGGTGAATTGTTTATATCTATTGACGTGAGCTCCCTTTCGTTTTTTATAAATTTTAGATTTTACGTTTCGGAGTTATGGGGTTTTATTCATTAAAAAAAGGGGGATTTTCCAGTTTTTCGGACAATAACTCAAGAATGCTTTCACCAACTGGCAAGAAATTGTGGTGAATTGTTTATATCTATTGACATGAGCTCCCTATCGATTTTTATATATTTTAGATTTTTCGTTTCCGAGTTACAGGGTTTTATTCATAAAAAAGGGGGATTTTCCTGTTTTCGGACAAAAAATCAAAAATGCTTTCAGCAGTTCTTATGAAACTTTGGTGAATTGTTTATATCTATTGATGTAAGCTCCGTTTAGAATTTTATAAATTTTTCATTTATCATTTCTGAGTTATGGGGTTTTATTCAATAAAAAAGGGGGGATTTTCCAGTTTTCGGACAATAACTTCAGCAGAGCTTATGAAACTTTGGTGAATTGTTTATATCTTTTGATGTAAGCTCCGTTTAGAATTTTATGAATTTTTATACGACCGCAAAAAAATTTTTGTGGTCGTATATTGGTATGACGTTGGCGTCGTCGTCGTCGTCCGGCGTCGTCCGAAGACACATTGGTTTTCGCACTCTAACTTTAGTTTAAGTGAATGGATCTTTATGAAATTTTACCACAAGGTTCAATACCACAAAAGGAAGGTTGGGATTGATTTTGGGGGTTATGGTAATAACAGTAAAGGAATTAGGGGCCAAAAATAAGCATTTTTGTAACTTCCAGACATAACTTGTGTGTTAGTGTATGGATCTCTCTGACATTGTACCACAAGGTTCCATATCACTAAAGGAATGCTGGGATTGATTTTGGGGGTAATTGCCTCCAAATTTTAGGAATTAGGGGCCAAAAAAAGGGCAAAAAACAAGCATTTTTCTAGTTTCATGACAATAACTTGTGTGTAAGTGTTTGGATATTTCTGAAATTGTACTACAAGGTTCCATATCACAAAGGGAAAGCTGGAATTGAGTTTGGGGGTAATTGCCCTAAACGTTTAGGAATTTGGGGCCAAAAAGGGGCCAAAAAACACATTTTTTTCTAGTTTCCAGACAATAACTTGTGTTCAAGTGTATGGATCTCTCTGAAATTGTACTGCAAGGTACCATACCACAAAAGGAAGGCTGGGATTGAGTTTGGGGGTGATGAATCATAATGGGGGTTCAAAAAATTTTGGGGGGGGATTTATTTTTTTTTCCTTTTTTTTCTTTTTTTCCTTTTTTGTTTCTTTTAAAATTTTCCATTTTAAGTTGGTTATTTCTGATTTATATTTAAAATCAAATAATAATGATATGGTAGGAGATACACACCAAACAGGATGTGTAAATTATTATATAATAAGTATTGTGCAATAGCAAGAAATTTTCAATTGCACAGTATTGCACAATAGCAAGAAATCTTCAATTGCACAGTATTGCGCAATAGCAAGAAATCTTCAATTGCACAGTATTGCGCAATAGCAAGAAATATCCAATAGCACAATATTGCGCAATAGCAAGAAATTGTCAATTGTACAGTATTGCGCAATAGCAAGAAATATTTAATAGCACAGGATTGTGCAAAAGAAGATACTTCCTATAAATTGCTTATTTCTTGACCAATTTCAATGGGGTTTTATTCTTGATTTCATGGGGTTCTTTAATATGCTGAATCTAACCGTGTATTTAGTTTTTGGATTTTGGGCCTCGTTTTTAAATTGGTCCACATTGAGGTCCAAAGGGTCCAAAATTAAACTTTGTTTGATTTCATCAAAAATTGAATTATTGGGGTTCTTTGATATGCCGAATCTAACTGTGTATTTAGATTCTTAAATTTTGGTTCCGTTTTCAAATTGGTCTACATTAAGGTCCAAAGGGTCCAAAATTAAACTTAGTTTGATTTTAACAAAAATTGAATTCTTAGGGTTCTTTGATATGCTGAATCTAAACATGTATTTAGAATTTTGATTATGGGCCCAGTTTTCAAGTTGGTCCAAATCGGGGTCCAAAATTAAACTTTGTTTGATTTCAACAAAAATTGAATATATGGGGTTCTTTGATATGCTGAATCTAACCATGTATTTAGATTTTTGATTTTTGGGCCCCGTTATCAACTTTGTCCACATTGAGGTCAAAAGGGTCCAAAATTAAACTTTGTTTGATTTCATCAAAAATTGAATTATTGGGGTTCTTTGATATGCCGAATCTAACCGTGTATTTAGATTCTTAATTTTTGGTTCCGTTTTCAAATTGGTCTACATTAAGGTCCAAAGGGTCCAAAATTAAACTTAGTTTGATTTTAACAAAAATTGAATTCTTAGGGTTCTTTGATATGCTGAATCTAAACATGTATTTAGATTTTTGATTATGGGCCCAGTTTTCAAGTTGGTCCAAATCGGGGTCCAAAATTAAACTTTGTTTGATTTCAACAAAAATTGAATATATGGGGTTCTTTGATATGCTGAATCTAACCATGTATTTAGATTTTTGATTTTTGGGCCCCGTTATCAACTTTGTCCACATTGAGGTCAAAAGGGTCCAAAATTAAACTTTGTTTGATTTCATCAAAAATTGAATTCTTGGGGTTCTTTGATATGCTGAATCTAACCATGTATTTAGATTTTGGATATTGGACCATAATAGGTGAATGTCCAATTTAAAATTTTTAAGTTCTTAGACCACATTCAATCTGTGTTAGAAACCTATGCTGTGTCAAATATTTAATCACAATCCAAATCCAAAGCTGTATCAAGCTTGAATGTTGTGTCCATACTTCCCCCAACTGTTCAGGGTTCGACCTCTGCGGTCGTATCAAGCTGCGCCCTGCGGAGCATTTTATTCATTTATCATTTCTGAGTTATGGGGTTTTATTCATTAAAAAAGGGGAGATTTTCCAGTTTTTGGACAATAACTCAAAAATGCTGTTAGCAATTCTCATGAAACTTTGGTGAATTGTTTATATCTATTGATGTAAGCTCCCTTTACATTTTCATAAATTTCTAATATGACATTGAGAATTAATTGAACTTATTTGTTTACAGTCTGACAACAGATTTACTAAGTATTGAGCAACAGCACAGTGTATTGCACAACTGCAAGAAATCTTTAATTGAATATAAATTCAATTCATATAACTAATTTCCAAGAAACCTATTATATGTCAAATATTTAATTACAATCCAAATTCAGACCTGTATCAAGCTTGAATATTGTGTCCATTTTTGCCCCAACTGTTCAGGGTTGGACCTCTGCGGGCGTATCCAGCTGCGCTCAGCGAAGCAGTTTATTCATTGTGTAGTTGCACAGAATTTTAGCTTGCATTTCTGTTCAGTGAACCATGAATTTTTTTTTAGCTATTATTGCTATGGAAAATGCATGGAGACTGATTGTTAAAAAATGATTCTCAAAACTTGTACCATGATTAAATTGGTTGACCATAATTTATTTGATTAGCTGATGATGAACATATAAACACGTCATTAGATTGTATTTAAACCTTCATTTAACTTTGATATTATGGTCCACTCGCAAAAGTTGAATTCATTTCATTATCTGCACTTTTAAAGTAGTTTTTTAAAGCGGAGAAAAATACCAGGGGGCAATATCAAAACCATAAGTTAAAGAAAGAAATCACTTTGGCAAAAAACAAAAAAGAGGAAAAGACCAAACACGAAACACTTACGAAAGATACTTGAGCAAAACAAACCCCTCACAATCTGAGGATGAACCTGAAGGCTCCTGGAGGGTAGCAGTTCTTGAACAAAGTCTATATTTTATTAAATTATTATTTAACTAATAATGTTATTATGTGTGTTTATTGATTATTTATTGAATTGAATGAATTGACATTTACCTGCAGATTACCCACCCCTCGTCCAGGAGAAGTACTAGGACTTGTAGGAACCAATGGTATTGGTAAATCTACAGCTCTGAAAATATTGGCAGGGAAACAGAAACCTAATCTGGGAAGATTTGATGTAAGCCTATTAGGGAGGAAACTTTATCATGTTTATTCACCTTTGTGTTGTTTGTATTTTATGTATAATGTAATGAAAATATAAACAAGTCTAAATTGAAAACAACGTTCAAACCTATGATTGCGTTGGATAAAAACCGCAATTTTTATACGTGTGCATGTAAAACAAATTTCTTGGTAGAGGGGTCTAAATACAGCACAAACAACATTTTCCAAAAGACCAAAAAAGTGAAAAGTATATTTTAACAAAACGCATTTGACTAACAGGTCGAACAACGGATGTTCTTAAACCCTGCTGACTGCCATTGGCGATTGCCAAATAAATTGATCACCAGATGTAACAAAATGGATCTTAATATTAATTTAATACCAAACAGAAAACAATAAACTTGCGGAAAAGATGAAATGAAAATATATATTTAAACCATTAGATGTAAGATTTCAAATCATATGTATATGACTATATTATTAGGAGATATGGGGTGTAACATAATTGAAACCGCAACCCAACAGCAAATTAATCCAAAATAGTAATCTTAACTTAAGGTCACCATATGGTCTCTAACCATTGCTAACAATAGACAATAACCCACAAAAAGTAAGTGTGAAGATTTTTTTGTGAAAAAACTTGTACACTTATTGATGGATGTTTGAAAAATAGCTTCTATGATATTAACTAAATTATTGTTTGAAACATTTTACTGAATATTTTTTAGGATCCACCAGATTGGACAGAGATATTGACTTACTTCAGAGGATCAGAACTACAAAATTTCTTCACAAAGATCTTGGAGGATGATCTGAAAGCCATCATCAAACCTCAATATGTTGACCAAATTCCAAAAGCTGTCAAGGTGAATCTTTATTTTTTAATTGAAAAGAAATTTAAAAATCTTTGTGGTCTTGCATAGTTTCATGAACATTTTGTACAAACATTGTATATTTATTAGCTCACCATGCCCAAAGCCTCTAGTTTTAACAGTGAAATTCTCACTCAAAAATATCTGTATTACAAAGTTGATTCTAATTATTTGCGATAGGATCTCATTGAAATATAAGTGAAATATTGAACAAAATTATGATGTCATGGAATAAAAGATTTATTTGTATGATAATGAACTAAAGGAGGTGTTGAGGTATATGTCAATACAACAGCAACCAAACAACACAACTTTAAAATACATCTTTGGCTTAGAAATGGATAGAAATCAAAGCATCAAGTATTTCTATCTTGTAATGTGGGAAGTACAATAACAAAAATTATGTTCATATTTATTATTTCAAGAGAAAATATATTAGGTGAAAATATTGAATTTTGGAAAAAAATAAGCAGCACTGACATATCTTCCAGCACACTTATACCTTGTGAACAAGCAAATTAAAAATCCAGCTCAGGGTGTCAGTCTAGTACAAAGCCATGTTCATATTGATATCACATTAACATGTTCTTGTCCTGAGTATGCAAACAGTATTTATCATTGAACGTTAAACACCCACCCATCTGTTGAATATAGATTTAAATAAATTATTTTTCTATGATTCTGAGGGTCAATATATATTATTTGTTATTTACAGGGATCAGTTCAAGCATTACTGGACAAGAAAGATGATTTGAAAAACCAAATAGAAGTCTGCAAACAAATGGGTAGGACTAAAAAAAAAATGAATGTGGTTCTAGCAAAAATTCATAAAATTTCTGTACAAAAGCAATATTTTCATTTTAACCGTGAAACTCACACTAAAAATATATGATTGAAAACTTTTACTTTTGCTATTGTTTCTAATTGTTAGCAAAAGGAAGATAAGTGGAATAAAACAGACTTGTTAAAACTGAAATGGAATGTTTTCCTAATGCAAATGTTCAATTTTTGTAAAGTAAATGAACCTGTTTGATCTTAACAAAAAAATGAAAATCAAATGGTTAATGAATATATAAAACCTTGTTTGTTTAGTCTATTTTTTTCCCCAGTCAAAAGAACAAACAAAATAGAAATTGGACCAGTGATGAAATACAAAAATTGCTGTTCACATTCAGACATTTCTGGTGACACAATTTTGTCTGAGGTTCAATGCCTACTAAAATTGGATATTTGATTGCAGCATTTTGATCATTTAGGCAATAACTCAAAGCATTTCAGTATTTTTTTAGTATCAAAAATGATATGCTAGATACTTGGTTGCAAATTGAAGTCACTGGGTTTAATGTTTAAGCAGTCTGTAATCTATGACTTGTAATGATAGATTGACTTGACTTTTACAAAATAAAATAAAAAATCTTGTTATTATTTTCCTGTTTACTGAATACTTTTACATTGTTCACACTCCTAAATTCTTACACATAATGGACATGCATGAAATTTTTCGTAAAATTTTTCTCAGAACAAATTTCTGAGATTCCTGAAATTTAGTATCAAGCTTCAGTTGAGAATGCTATTGTGCATTTGTACATCCATTTCTCATTAACTTCCATTGACCAAATACTTAAAGTGGGGCTATCTTAAGTGAGCAATAGCTCACAGTTCATCATGTTATTGAAATTGTACAAGTATTTCATGTTTTCTAGTTATTAGAGAGATCTACAGTAGTTTCAGTGTATTGGCTATTGTCTAAGAAAATGATGGGCAACAATGTGCTGTTGAACCAGTGATGAAGAAAAAATAAAATTGCTGTTCACATTCAGACATTTCTGGTGACAAATTGTGTCTGAGGTTCAATTGATTGCTATAAGTGGATATTTGATATTCCAAATTACATGAATTATTTCAGTATTTTCCAGTATCAAAAATGATATGCTAGATACTTGGTTGCAAATTGAAGTCACTGGGTCAAATGTTTAAGCAGTCTGTAATCTATGACTTGTAATGATAGATTGACTTGACTTTTACAAAATAAAATAAAAAAGCTTTGTTATTATTTTCCTGTTTACTGAATACTTTTACATTGTTCACACTCCTACATTCTTACACATAATAGACATGTATGAAATTTTCATAAAATTTTCCTCAGAAGGAAAATCTGAGCTTCCTGAAATTAGGTATCAAGCTTCAGTTGAGAATGCTATACTGCTATGCATTTGTACATCCATTTCTCATTAACTTCCATTGACCAAATTATTATAGTGGGGCTATCATAAGTGAGCAATAGCTCACAGTTCATCTAGTTATTGAAATTGTACAAGTATTTCATGTTGTCTAGTTATTAGAGAGATCTAGAGTAGTTTCAGTGTATTGGCTATTGTCAAAGAAAATGATGGGCAACAATGTGCTGTTGAACCAGTGATGAAGAAAAAATAAAATTGCTGTTCACATTCAGACATTTCTGGTGAAAATTTTTTCTGAGGTTCTATTGAATACGGACAGTTTAAATAATAATTGACGTTACTGTTCTATCAAATAGTTGAATGAATTTATGTTCTATATTTAGATTCGGAAGTTGCAAACAATAGAATTACTTTATATATATATAGCTTGGTTTTGAAAATTTTAGATTTGATGCATGTAAGAGATAGAAATGTGGAGGATTTATCTGGAGGAGAATTACAGAGATTTGCATGTGCGATGGTGTGTATACAAAAAGCTGACATGTAAGTTGTATACTATAAATTGAGAAATTATTGGGATGTTTTTATTAATGCAAAAAATGTGACAGAATCCTGTTCACAAAAAAAAAAATTGCTTTCATGATTTCAGCAGTGATTTTTCTCGATATAATTTTTGAATTCGCATCAATTAAGACTTTGCATTTTGGCCAGAGGTCAAGGATTCACAATAATAAATGCAGGCATTAATTTCTGAATGCACAGTAGTCCTTTTTCAAGTCACTTACTTTCTTCAGATTAAGTTGCACATGTTGCAGTTAATATTTGTGTATTTACTACTACACTCGTAAAGTGATTCAATGTGATCGATGATTGTTATACTCGTGTTATTTAGCATGAAATATGTTCCATTTCAAAATTAAGTCTAATCTTGTACTCATTTGAAAAGGGGGATGCGGATTGTAGGAGTCAATACAAGCATGTGGGCATCTCGTTAAAAAAAAAAAAATTCGTAATTGTGGCTTACAATCATAGCTCATGGGATCATTTGAAGATGGCGGAAGAAAATTTAACGATGGCGGAGCTCCATCGTAAAACAAGTCATGGAGATATGGAGGTCAACATACATAACAATAGATTAGTTTCAGTATAATATGTCTAGCTTTAAAATGACTAAAATAGAAACCTAGTGAAGTCCTTTATGAAAGATTAAATGAACCACATAATAATAGATAACTAATCAGTTACTTTAAAATAGCATCAGACACCAGTCTGTTTAAAATGCTCTGTCTAAGATACGAGGGCATTATGTTTTCTGGTCTGTTCATTCTGTATCAAGTTAGATTAAGGATGTGCTTTAACATGGTCTAATCAACTTGTAACTAGTACACAGGTTCATTATGATGTGGAAATTTTAAATTATATGCCAAATTACGGCTTCATGGTTTAGTAACAGGTATTCTAGTTCTCTCTCTTATTCTTCTATCGAAACATGGACTTAAAGACATATATCTAGGTTTATTATGGATAATTTATTCATTTGAAGATGATGCAAATCTTATATTGAAGAAAGATAACTTTTTTTTCAGATTTATGTTTGATGAACCTTCTAGTTATTTAGATGTGAAACAGAGACTGAAAGCTGCCTTGGCAATCCGGGAGTTGATTCATTCTGACAAATATATAATTGTAGTAGAACATGACTTGTCAGTACTAGACTATCTATCAGACTTTATATGTGTTTTATATGGAATTCCTGGCGCCTATGGTGTGGTTACTATGCCTTTCAGTGTACGAGAAGGTATGTTTACTGATACTAGGTCCTTCACAACGAGAATGTGGATGTGGAATGATAATCAGAGTTCGCGAAATCTTTTTTCCATGGTGTCCTTCAAGAAATTCTGCTGGTCCTTTCTATTATTTCTATTTCAAAATACGAAAATTGTATTAGTCCTTTGCAAAATGTTGGTGGTCAAAACCTTCGGACCACTTCTTTTCGCGAAATTGGATAATTGCCACTTACAGTAAGACTATGCCATGGATGTCTATTTGAATACAATATTTGAGTAGATTCAAACAAGAAATCTTTTTGTTTATCAGAGCAAGAAAACGTTTGGGAATTAAAACAGTTAGGCCCAATGGTCAAAACCAGTAATCATGGTAGAAATGATTAAAATTAGCTTTTGACTAAATTGAATGTCTGTTGAGTATTTGATCATTGCAATATTACAGTACTGCCACAAACATTTTCCCTTGTCTAAATTTGAATTCTTGACTGACTGTAATACAATCCATATAAGGAATCAAAACAGGGTTACAAATTTGGTTTAAGTTGGTTTACCATCAACTTGAAACATGTGTTGTGAACTTTTTGAAATAAATACAAATTAGGGTTTTGACACAGATTTTGCAGTTTACTGAAGATGTTCTTGTTTTAAATGGTCTTACCCAGGGTTTTTAATGCACTTTTTATACGCCCGTTTACGGGACGTATTATGGTTTACCTCTGTTCATCCGTCTGTCCGTCCGTCGTCAACATGTCGGACATTATTGTTTGTTTGTACCAAATATGCCACAGGTGTAAAAGAAATAAATAAAAATATTTTAAAGAGTTTGTTAAACCAATGATGAGGAAGATAATTTGCTGTTCACATTCAGACTTTTCTGGTGACTAATTGTCTTTCTGAGGTTGAAGTCAATGTATTTAGAATATTCACTTGTTAGCAGTTTTCAGATCTGTTTGTCAATACTTTGAAGATTTCAATATCAGGAATAAACCTAAAAAATTTTGTCACACATTTTTCCAGTACTACTGAACATAACTACTTCATATTTTGTCAGCAGTTCTACGGTGATGAGTTATAACGTGAGTGTTTTTAGGCACCTTCACCTAGTTACTGTTTTCCATTTCTTTGAATTATGAGTGGGGTATGTTTAGCATGACAATGTGTGCATTCTTTTTATCTCTACTGAGGTTAGGTTCAGTTCTGAAAGTAACATGACTGCGAAAGTGCACATCTTATAGTCATGTGGGTCATACATTGACAAATTCTTGATTTTATGTTGCTTGTCCATGCCTTTTCTTGGGTATGTAGATAGGGAATTTTTGCAGTACACTTAACATATTCTTTAATATTGTTTTATAATGGTCTTATCCAGGGTTTTTGTAATGCACTTTTTATACCAAATATACACAGAATGGAATTTTAAGTAAATAAAATCTTGAAGGAAAGCATTTGTTCAAACCAATGATGAGGAAGATAATTTGCTGTTCACATTCAGACTTTTCTGGTGACTTTGTCTTTCTGAGGTTGAAGTTAATATATATATTATATAAAAAAAATTTATGGTTTATTTGAAGGAAAAGGTACATTTTTGAGCAAATTTGGTCTTGCAAATTCACATTGAAATAAACAATTGTATGATACCATTTTTAATCATCATAGTACAGGCTTTCTGATTATGTATATATGTTATTAAATGCTTGAGGACACTGTTTGACTGTCACATCATAAACGTTGTCATGAGGGAGATTCGAAACACATTGTCAGTACGTATAAAAAAGTTTTAAGAATTTGTTTAAAATTTTAAATTAAAAAACATGAGGTTAAAAAAAAAGCGTTTTGTTTCTAGTTTTTGCTTGTAAATCATGATTGGTTGAACACTCAATTGGACTGTGAAATTATCTGCCATGAATATGCGAGATGTGTACAAAATAATGTTAACCTAAACAATCAATTATTACCCTTTTATTTTAAACACAATTGTCTGAAGGATTTCATGGTATCGTGATAATATCTAGTGTGAGAGGAAAAGTAGCAATAGAACCAATGATGAGATAGATAATTTGCTGTTCACATTCAGACTTTTCTGGTGACAAATTATCCTTGCTGAGGTCTGGCTTAATTCTGATTGTTACATGACTGCTAATCTTAAAAATATGTATAGTAGGGCTAGATGTTGCCTGTCAATACCTGCCTTGGAAAGGTGGGTAGGAAGGGAATTTTTGTAGTTTACCGAAAAAAGTCTTGTTTTATTATGGCCTTATCCATGTTATCCAGGGTGTTTATAACCCTCTCACCTTCAGCCACCCAGACTGAATTATTTTGTCAGTATGTGCACTTAGTCACTTGTCCTATGTCCGAGTGTAGTGAATATTGATTGTGGCTAGTGAATTTTTGTTTACATGTGTAGGAAAAATATTGAGGTTTCTGATTCAGGCTAGTAGCTGGAAAAGTTTTTGGTGCAGACTGTTTTGTAACAATGCTCAGTTGATTTTGACACAGTTTTCAGCAAAAAGAAATGCCATGTTTACACTTTCATACAGGCAAAAACAAAGAAAGATAAGGCAATGTTTTTGAGCAGAAATATAAAAGAATGTTGCTTTTTCTGGTTGACAATGATTTATTGGCAGCTGTCTAAATCATAAATACAGTGTTGATGAACTTTTGTACCAGATATGACACAAAATGTAATATAAGTACAGTAAATAAAACAATGAAAGAAAGTATTTGTGTAAACCAATGATGAGTGAGATAATTTGCTGTTCACATTCAGACTTTTCTGGTGACAAATGATCTTAACTGACATGACTGAGGTTGGATTCAATTCTGAAGGTACCATGGCTGTTTAGTCATGTCAAATAAAATTCTATTCTATAAAGAAATTTGAAAAAAAAAAATTAGTTTGTTAGATATTTAACTTTAGGAAGCCATTTGTGTTCAAAAATTACCTTTGCTGTTATTTTGCAAATAATGTAACTTGTATTACAGTAAAATTTAAAAACAGACAACAAGATTCCATGAACTACATGAACATGTATTTAAATTCCTTTATGAAAAAAAAAATTTGAACTAGCTGTCAACACAATTCTTGAAAATGTGACTTTTCTGCATATACAAACCATGAGTATTTACCTTCATTGATTGATAATTACTGTAAATGATTATATTACGGAAACTGAACTATCTTGTTGATTCATTTTTCCCGAAAATGATACAGTATTCTTTAAGTGTACATATTATTTAGTAATTTCTGATGCTACAAGCAAACCATTTAACACAATTCCTGAAAATGTGACTTTTCTGCCTACAAACCATGAGTATTTACCTACATCGATTGATAATTACTGTAAATGATTATATTACGGAAACTGAACTACCTTGTTGATTCATTTTTCCCGAAAATGATACAGTATTGATGGAGTATACATATTATTTAGTGATTTCTGATGCTGAAACCAATTATCACAATTGTTATCCTTTCCTTGTCAGGTATCAACATATTTTTGGATGGATTTGTGCCAACAGAGAATTTGAGATTCAGAGAAACTTCATTGACATTCAAAGTAGCAGAAACAGCTATGGAAGAAGAAATTAAAAGAATGTGCAGATATGAATACCCTGATCAGAAGAAAATGTTAGGTATGTGAATGAAAATGTTTCTTTTATAAAATGGCATAAAATTAGCTGTAATGATTAGGGAAATGGACAATAGGCCTGGGTCTTCATTTCTAGCCAAAAAAAAGGGGAAAAAATTGAAGTCTCACAGATTGGTTTGAGTCTTTTGCTTGAAAAGCTTTATATTTGGAAATAAAGAAGTTGTTCCTTGGGGAAAACAATTTGGAAATAAAGAAGTTGTTCCTTGGGGAAAACAATTTGGAAATAAAGAAGTTGTTCCTTGGGAAAACAATTTGGAAATAAAGAAGTTGTTCCTTGGGGAAAACAATTTGGAAATAAAGAAGTTGTTCCTTGGGAAAACAATTTGGAAATAAAGAAGTTGTTCCTTGGGAAAACAATTTGGAAATAAAGAAGTTGTTCCTTGGGGAAAACAATTTGGAAATAAAGAAGTTGTTCCTTGGGAAAACAATTTGATTGCAAAGAAGATGAATAATAGCAAAATGGCTTATTTTACCAGGTTAGCAATCCAGGCTCTTTTGATCCTCTTTGTATGTAGCTTTTATTATTACTGGGGAAATTATCACTTTTACTGTACTTACTGTTTTATATGTAGCTGTAAACTGTTTTATATGATATATTGATTTTGGTTTGATATGAGATTGTAGGTTAAAAGTCTTGTATAATGTTGCTGCTTTTAGGGAGCCTGAATATACAATTTCATTGTACACTAACAGGTAATCTTGAGAAAATGTTTGTGCCAAAAATTTAGCAGGTAAATGAATTATAAATTCTCTCTTTTTTATTTAGGAAATTTCACATTATCTGTAAAAACAGGCCAGTTCACAGATTCAGAAATTATTGTCATGTTGGGAGAAAATGGAACAGGAAAGACAACATTCATCAGAATGTTGGCAGGAAAATTGGCCCCAGATGAAGGAGGTAAGAAGATAAAGTAACGAACAAATATTTAGAAAAAAATAGACATTATAAAGCAGAGTATTTGATTAGGTATAATCCATAAAAATGGATGTTAGGAGGACAGGAAGGGACTTCCAAAATACTTCTATAACCAACATACTTTCAATGGCTTTATGTTATTTTGCATATATGCTGTGTCGGATAGAAATCGACCATATGCAAATGAATATCAATACATTTGTTAACTTATTTCGGGTTGAAAAAATCTCTATGCAAAGTCTGTAACTGTTTAAAAATTGTGTTGATATAAGATCCCAACACAACTGACCAAAATTCATTTTTAGCTCACCTGGCCCGAAGGGCCAAGTGAGCTTTTCTCATCACTTGGCGTCCGTCGTCCGTCGTCGGCGTAAACTTTTTACATTTTGAACTTCTTCTAGAGAACCACTGAATGGAATGAAACCAAACATGGCATGAATGTTCCTTATGAGGTGCTGACCAAGTGTTGTTACTTTGTAGTCGATCCATCATCCAAGATGGCCGCCAGCAGGGGACTTAGTTTAACATAGGACCCTATGGGAAATGCATACAAATGACTTCTTTTAGAGAACCACTGAATGGAATGAAACCAAACATGGCATGAATGTTCCTTATGAGGTGCTCACCAAGTGTTGTTACTTTGTAGCTGATCCATCATCCAAGATGGCCGCCAGCGGGGGACTTAGTTTAACATAGGACCCTATGGGAAATGCATACAAATGACTTCTTTTAGAGAACCACTGAATGGAATAAAACCAAACATGGCATGAATGTTCCTTATGAGTTGCTGAACATGTGTTGTTACTTTGAAGCCGATCCATCATCCAAGATGGCCACCATCGGGGAACTTAGTTTAACATAGGACCCTATGGGAAATACATACAAATGTCTTCTTTTAGAGAACCACTGAATGGAATGAAACCAAACATGGCATGAATGTTCCTTATGAGGTGCTGACCAAGTGTTGTTACTTTGTAGCCGATCCATCATCCAAGATGGCCGCCATCGGGGAACTTAGTTTAACATAGGACCCTATGGGAAATGCATACAAATGTCTTCTTTTAGCGAACCACTGAATGGAATGAAATTAAATACGGCATGAATGTTCCTTATGAGGTGCTGACCAAATGTTGTTACTTTGTAGCTGATCCATCATCCAAGATGGCCGCCAGCGGGGGACTTAGTTTAACATAGGACCCTATGGGAAATACATAAAAATGTCTTCTTTTAGAGAACCACTGAATGGAATGGAACCAAACATGGCATGAATCGTCCTTATGAGGTGCTGACCAAGTGTTGTTACTTTGTAGCCGATCCATCATCCAAGATGGCCGCCATCGGGGAACTTAGTTTAACATAGGACCCTATGGGAAATGCATACAAATGACTTCTTTTAGAGAACCACTGAATGGAACGAAACCAAACATGGCATGAATGTTCCTTATGAGGTGCTCACCAAGTGTTGTTACTTTGTAGCCGATCCATCATCCAAGATGGCTGCCAGCGGGGGACTTAGTTTAACATAGGACCCTATGGGAAATGCATACAAATGACTTCTTTTAGAGAACCACTGAATGGAATAAAACCAAACATGGCATGAATGTTCCTTATGAGGTGCTGACCATGTGTTGTTACTTTGTAGCCAATCCATCATCCAAGATGGCCGCCATTGGGGAACTTAGTTTAACATAGGACCCTATGGGAAATACATAAAAATGTCTTCTTTTAGAGAACCACTGAATGGAATGGAACCAAACATGGCATGAATCTTCCTTATGAGATGCTGACCAAGTGTTGTTACTTTGCAGTTGGTCCATCATCCAAGATGGCCGCCAGCAGGGGACTTAGTTTAACATAGGACCCTATGGGAAATACATACAAATGTCTTCTTTTAGAGAACCACTGAATAGAATGAAACCAAACATGGCATGAATGTTCCTTATGAGGTGCTGACCAAGTGTTGTTACTTTGCAGTCGGTCCATCATCCAAGATGACTTAGTTTAACAAAGGACCTATGGGAAATACATACAAATGTCTTCTTTTAGCGAACCACTGAATGGAATGAAACCAAACATGGCATGAATGTTCCTTATGAGGTACTGACCAAGTGTTGTTACTTTGCAGTCGGTCCATCATCCAAGATGGCCGACAGCAGGGGACTTAGTTTAACAAAGGACCTATGGGAAATACATACAAATGTCATCTTTTAGAGAACCACTGAATGGAATGAAACCAAACATGGCATGAATCTTCCTTACGAGATGCTGACCAAGTGTTGTTACTTTGTAGCCGATCTATCATCCAAGATGGCCGACAGCGGGGGACTTAGTTTAACATAGGACCCTATGGGAAATACATACAATTGTCTTCTTTTAGAGAACCACTGAATGGAATTGAACCAAACATGGCATGAATGTTCCTTATGAGTTGCTGACCAAGTGTTGTTACTTTGCAGTGGATCCATCATCCAAGATGGCTGCTAGGGGGGGGGGGGCTTAGTTTAACATAGGACCCTATGGGAAATACATACAAATGTCTTCTTTTAGAGTACCACTGAATGGAATGAAACCAAACATGGCATGAATGTTCCTTATGAAGTGCTGACCAAGTGTTGCTACTTTGTTGCCGATTTACTGTTCAAGATGGCCACCAGGATATTTTATTAAATAACGGGACCAATATTAATCAAAATTTGGCCTCAATCATTATTTGGGTATCTGTTATGATTTTTATCTTTCTTTACATGATTTCTAAAACCAAAGTAGAGTCAGGTGAGCGACACAGGCTCTTGAGAGCCTCTAGTTTATTTCATATTTGAATGTTCCCAAATCTATCAGTCATAAACGTGCACTTGCATAAGGTCTATTTCTATCCGATGTGGCTCCTATATCAAATGGACATACAAATACAAATTACCTACTTTCCCATGTCCAAAAATAAACCTCCCTCCTACCTCCCACATCCATTTTAATGGAATACCCTAAGGTCGTATCAGATGGGTATAAAATCTGGTTTTCCTCTGATTAACAGGAGCATACATTGCTGAATCCAATGAATTAACATGTGTAACTATACACCAGTACTCTTGTCAATTGTCAGCTGATTTCACTATATAGCTTGTACAGTTATTGTTTGGCAGTAAAAGGTGAATAATTATATTTTAGATTTTTTATGCCCCTGCCTCTGCATCATGTTTTACCCTTGTCCGTCTTTCTGTCTATCCTTTTGTCTATCCCATTTTTTGTGTCCGCATTCTAACTAAAGTCTGCCTCATGCAAATTTTATGAAACTCATACACAATGCTAAAAACCAAAACTCCCATACAAGAGTTCAAATTTGGGCTGTGTCTCATTTACTGTTGGAGAGTTGTGCCCCTTTATAACCTTTGATAATTGCAAATGTTTTCATTTCCGCAATCTTAGTTTGTCTCATCCAAATTTTATGAAACTCATACACAATGCTAAGAACCACAACACGCAGACAGAGTTTGAATTTGGGCTAAGTATCATTTACCTTTCTAGAGTTATGCCCAATTTTAACTTGAAAAAATATAAAGCTTGAGCGTGGCCATTTGTTTTCTCAGACACATTCTTCTCTTTTAAATAAATGAATTGTGAAAATGTTGATCATTGTTTTGTATAGACTTACGATACGTTTTTCTGATCATATATTAAATAAAATATTGTTTTTCAGGCTCATGTCCCATATTGAATGTGAGTTATAAACCACAGAAGATAAGTCCAAAGTCTCAAGGAACAGTGCGACAGTTATTGCATGAAAGGATCCGTGATGCTTACATCCACCCTCAGTTTGTTACTGATGTAATGAAGCCCATGATGATGGAAGCCATTATAGACCAAGAGGTATATTCACTGTCTTTAAATATACATTCTTTCTTCATCATGTTTCATGCTGATGGTATACATTCCACTACTTGTTACTGTGCGTTCATTAATATTCGTTGGATACCAATTTTCGTGGGTACAGGTGAACCACGAATTTAAAAGTTCAACAAATTACAAATTTTCTATAGGCTTTGTATGCACAAATTGGCAAAAACGTGAAATCAAATATCCAGGAAAATGCAAATTAAAACACCGCATCACAATATTAAAGATTTAAATAATTTTTGTTGTCTGAAATTGAATGAGTTGATTGTTTGACATCTGATGCCTTATAGAACATATGTCAGTCAGCTAGGAATATTAGGTCAAATAAAAAAAAACATGATCAGAATTATCTGAATGAGGGTTGCTGAGAATGGTCTTAGTCGAGAGTGAAATCAAATAATTTTTAATTTTGCAAAAAATGATAAGTATAACATACATGCAGCTTAAGGTGGTCCCATGTTGAAGATTACTGTGAATGATTATATTACGGAAACTGAACTTTTTTGTTGATTCTATTTTCCCGAAAATGATACAGTAATTATGAGGTGTATACATTTTTCAGTGATTTATGAAGATTCATGCAAACCAAGCATTTGAGTCTCGTTCAATTAATGTTTTAGTAGCTTGAATAAGAAGAGATGACAAAATAAACAATATCCTTAATAAAGTAAAATTATTTTCTAATCATGATCATGAAAATCCATATTTTAGTTGAATAATAACTTTTTTAGCAGTCTGAATTGTGAATGCCATTTGAGTGTCTAGACCTTAAAATCTGCATGGGAAAAAAATGCAAAACATTTTAGGTTTCTAAATTTTGAAGAAAAAGTGTATGTTCATGTGTATAATACTTGGCAAACATTTAGTTCCCGATATCAGTATTTTCCATGTAAAACACTTCTCCTTTTATCCATGGATGTTTGTTATCCAGTGATATACTATTCTTCGGCTACATACTAAACAAAAACCTGATATGTTAGGCAGATATTTGTGTAATGTTTGTTTTCAATTGAAAAATTACTTTTTGTTCTCAAGCCAAAGCACATAAAATAAAGATAAAAAAAGGTATATTGAGTATCTGATGTTCAATTACACCAATTTTGTAATTGCAGGTTCAGAATTTATCAGGAGGAGAGTTGCAGAGAGTGGCCTTAGTACTCTGTCTCGGTAAACCAGCTGATGTATACCTGATTGACGAACCTTCAGCTTACCTGGACTCAGAACAGCGTTTACATGCTGCCAAGGTCATCAAGAGGTGAGCAAATTATTCTGGGGTTTGTTGATTGTTTGTATTTTGCTTAACATTGAGTGGCAAATATAACAGTCATAGATGAGCATGTTTTAAACATTAAATATTTGTTGAAGAAGTTCCTGTATCGAATAGGATAAAATGTGGGAAATTTAGGCTTCCATTTTAGAATGAGGCCTAGTTCAGAAGTGAAGGACTTTTAGCAGGTCACTGATGTTAAAAAGTTGTTACTAGGATGGTTTTAAAATAAGTTAATTGATTAGTCACAACTAAAATATTAATCTTGACAAGAAATGTTAACATTCATCTTTTTTAAGATCATTTATTTGTTTGACACTAGAAAAGTTTGATAATAAACAAAAATGCTATAATACAAGGGAGATTACTGTAAATGATTATATTACGGATGCTGAACTTAAATGTTGAGCAATTTTCCCGAAAATGATACAGTAGAGATGTGAAGAAAAAGTTGAAATATTATTAAGATAAGATGTGGTATGATTTCTAAGGAGACAGCTCTCCACCAGAGACCAAATGACATTGAAGTTAACAACTAAAGGTCACCGTACGGCCTTCAACAATGAGCAAAACTCATACTGCATAGTAAGCTATTAAAGGCTCCAAAATGACAAATGGCAAACGATTCAAACAAGAAAACTAACAGCATGATTTATGTACAATACAATGAACGAAAAACAAATATGATATACAGCAACAAACGACAACCACTGAATTACTTGCAATTTAATTACGACATGAATCAAATTTTTTTATGCCCCCGCTGTAGTGGAGGGGGCATTAAGATTTACCCTTGTCCGTCTGTACGTCCGTCCGTACATCCCAAAGTTGGTTTCCGTTCTCTAACTTAAGTTGGCCTCAATGTTATGAGACTTATACACAATACTTATTACCACAAAACTGAGATCAAGTACAAATTTGGGTAGCGTCACTTTTACCGTTCTTCAGTTATGTCCCTTTATAACTTTAGATTATATGTAAGTGGGGGCATCATCTATGTCCATGGGACACATTCCCCATTTATTTTGTTTTGTTAAAGTGATGATAATAAATATACTTCTTCTCTAGCCTGTCAACACTGGTGGTGTGAGTTCAAGCAAGTGCTAGGTTCTTTTGACATCGATCTTAATTCACTAGGTTTGCCAGTTTTCTTGCGGAAGGTGGGGGGTTCTCAGTGGACACCATAGTTTCCTCCACCAATAAACAATGGCCGCCACGATGTAGCCATGAGTGATAAAAGTGGCTTTTATCGCCAACAATTAATCATTTATCAATACTAAAGAGTGAAAACAAACATATGCTATCTTGATATAATTGCATTGTGTTTAAAAAAAATTTAGTGTATAACATACAAGGAGCTAATGTTTGTTCCGTATGGAAGATTACTGTAAATGATTATATTACGGAATCTGAACCTTTTTTGTTGATTCATTTTTCCCGAAAATGATACAGTAATTATGAGGTGTACTGATTTATGTTGCTACTTTAAACCCAATCATTCTACTTTTGAACCATTGTTTAAAGTTGCCTTAATTGGGGAACACACCAAAGTTTACAGTTCCTTCACAAAGTCAATCATTTTTAGGGATCATAGATTTATTCTTACGAGGAAGCTCCGAGCATGCTCGGAGGATGCTCGGAGCTTTTTAAGTAGGCTCTTCTCAGCAGTTTATGTGACAATAATTATCATGATCTATTAAGATGTCAATCAAATCTATAGCACTTCTATAATAAGGAAAGTAAAGCATTATAGAGGAAGCTCAATTAACACCTGTGTAAACATCTGGTATATTCAAATACATTTTGCATGAAATTTACAAAACTATAAAATAGATTAGAAATTCTTCAACAGTACTGGGAAATACTTGGAAAGAAATGTCGTCTCCACAAAAAGTAAAAGTCATTAAAATATTTTCTTATTAGATTATATAATTTAGATATAGTTTATACTATATAATATGCTACATAAAAGTCATCAAGGCACAAACAACAGTCATGGGGCGATACTAAACAAGTAAATTTTTTTTTAGTTACTTATAATTTTTTTCGTTTTTAAAAATTATTTAATAACTCAATAGTTATTTTAAATGTCAATAGTAGCATGGACTAAATGTAGTTTTTAAGAATTTGATATAATTTTATTAAATAAAATTAAGTATTTATCAAATGTGAGATGAGTATAGAGATAAAAGGTTACTTTAAAAATGAGGACAAAATTATTACTTTTATAAATTATTTTATACATCTTTGAAAAACTTAGCACTTATAATTATTTATGGAACATATGCTATTGTTTTAGATTACACATTATAAATAACTTCAAGTCTTAATTAAATCACAAGGTTCCATCTATTTATATTTGTCTACCATTAAGATTTTAAAGGAAAATGGTATTTTAATAGTCCCAAGAGGACAATCTTTGACCCAGAAGCGTGGCTCAGAAAGTCAATTAGTGTTTCAGGAGGATTAGTTTTATATTTCATGGGAAAAATAACCAGATGTCTGTGAAAATTTGTTAAAGCTATTAAAACCTGTATGAATGGACACATATAAAAATAATATTGAAATAAGTTACTTATACATGAAATAGAAGTAATATATGATATAGCATCGTTTTTAACATAAATTGCATAGGTAATTTTGAAAAAAAATTGTTTAAGTAATGCCCCTAACTAAACAATGGTAATATGTTTTTTTTTTTATATATATAAAATAGCAAACTTAGTTCTTTTATAAAAAAATTATGGCTACTTTAGGAAAAGTTGTAATTCATTATTGGAAGGCTGGTTTGAGGGGGTAATATCACCATTGTTTTTCCCCTAGTACGTCTCTGTTTAATTGACTTTTTTTTAATTGTGTAGAATTCATCTTTGTTTTAAATAAAGAGATATTTGGCATGAGTAAAGTTTAACCTGTCAATTACTGCAGGGAAAATTTAACATAAAATTGTTTTTCCCCCATAAGTCTTTGTTTAATTTGCCTTTTTTTTATTAAATGTGATGAATTTATCTATGTTTTAAATAAAGAAATACTCTACATGAGTGAAGTTTTATCCTGTCCAGTACTACAGTGAAAATACAACATAACTTTTCATTGCAGATAAGATATTAAACGTCACCAGAAGTTAACCAGTCAAATTCCTCTCCCCCTTTTTTTTTCCTGTTTACCAGCTTTAGTAGCAATGTCCCCTTAAATTTCCAAAATATTTTATAGCAACACCAATAGAATTTTTTATTGCTTTGAAACACCCAAGATACATGTTAACGACCCAAAAAAAACTTTCTGCAATGAAATGCAGGGTTAATTTCCAACAACTGTCAAATTAAATGGAATATAAAAAAAATCAACCATTTCTGGCTTGAAACTGAATGTACTATATTTTGGTGGTATTACACCTGAAAGAATTTTGACAATATAACGGAGTAAAATAAATGGATTTTAGTTCAGCAATCCTCTATTTCCTTTTCTCGAATGACTTTTTAATATATATAAACAACTTCTATCAAAAGGAAAGTAAAGCAATGTAGAGGAAGCTCAGTTAACGCCTGTATGTAGAAAGTCATTTTATATAGGCCTTTATCAGTACATACTATCAATATAAAACAGATCCTAAAAATATAAATATATATACTAAAAAAATTTTCTATAAGATTCAAACTAGTTATTTTTTTTTTCTTTTTAGCTTTCATGAGTATAATTATAAAAAAAAAAAACATAAATCAAAGTTAGTAAGAATTTCAGGCATAATTATGTTCATTAGTATAGGACATTGTGGCAGTTGTTTGGAGTTGAATTAATTATTTTTTGCTTGTTTTATGTTATTTAATATTCAATTCATACAAGTAAAATATGATCACACAATTTAAAAGTAAATATTGATACAAGTCACTCTGCAGTCTGTCCAATAATACTGTTTAGAAATCTGTGTAGGCGCAAAACATTATTATAAAAGGTTTATATCACAGCATGATACATTATATAAACATTATAGTTTGAGGGAATAACCCATTTTACAGTTTCAGTAGGGATAATTATCTTAGAGCATCCTCTTTTATGCTCCATATTAAATATTTTGATAATATTAAAATGCTGTATGCTGTTAAATAAAAAACATCTTCAACAATAATAATTGATTCCAATTTTAAATACAGTTATAAAAAAATTAGATAGAAACAGATGATATTGCATTATTTTATATATGGTAGATAAATAATAATTTAACCCCTAAACTAAAGTGGTATAGTCGTGACTACCTATTGTCATGTTCCTACAGTCATGAGAGTCGTATGCTGAATCAAAAATGCTTTTAAGTAAACCAAATTGAACTATAATTACTATACATCTTTAAATATTTGTAAGTGAGGGACCTAGAATATATAAGTCAAGTCTGCAAATTATTCAAGAAAATTGCCTGTTCTCTAGGCCTCAAACACTAAAACTTCTAAATTCCATTTTCCTAACTTGAAATAAATTATTACAAGAATTTTTAACTGCAGTTATAATACATAGTATAAAATAACAGTATGTTTTAAACTGGTATTCAATTGACTTAAAGCATTAGGATAATGAATCAAAATTCTAAATTTTAAGCAGACAGCAAAATAGATTGTGTAAATGACTTCTCAATTTTATGATGATTTGCTCTTCTGTTCACATATATAAATAGAAAAAGGAGGTTGATATGAAATGGAAATCTTGCAATTATCATTCAGGGATATCAAATGTAATTATGACTTTCTGCATTTTGATTAAGCTTAAAAGAGATACTTGAAAAAATAAGTTGACATTTTTTATACAAATCAATGTAATGAAGAACTAGAATTTAAAATAAAAGACAAAAGGGATTCCAGAACAAAGTATAATTTTTTGTTGTAAAGTTTTTGGTCCACTGAATCCATTTAATTATCATAAAAACAAAATCAAAAAATTTATTAAAGAAATAGATGTAGAGGATTGCTGAAGTAAAATCAATTTATCATAATTATTAT